GTATCTTCGTAACTGCGTAACACTACTACGAAAAGATAAAAAAAAAAAATACTAGCGGGTCCTGTCCATACACAACAAAAGGTATACAATCTTGCTTAGAAAAAGCAGTAATTGCCGCAAATATAACTTTACATAAGCGTCTCCCCGGTTTATTTTAAGCACACCTGTGTTTGTACGTGTGCTCTCCTATTATTTTTACTTGAGTCGATTCATCGCTCCTGGTTTCCACTTCTTTACTACCATTAAACACCTTTACTGACTCATAACATACAGGGCCCTATCATAACCAATCTTAAAGCTATGTACGTGGAGTGTGCCTTGACTATTACTCGACTAATATTTCATCTACATCGTCCAAATAACCCAATTCATGCATACTGCCATCATCTCCCTTACTCTTCCACTCCTCCAGGGGCACCAGGCTCACCTCTCGCATAATTTCTTCCTTTCAGCCCAGGGGCGAAATTTTGGTTATGCCTTTAGACCTTCTGGAGTTGAAAATGTTGGGACTCGAGGCTGAAAATATATAGTCCATAATGGGCCTTACTTCGTGTAAAGTGTGCGTGTACGTTCTCACTGATTTTTTTTTTTTTTGCTTATATGGGTGTGACTAGTCTCTCGGCTCTTTATCCTAACTGTATTGCTAGTTCCTGCGCTATTGGATCTTGTTAAGACACTCTTGAAACTGTATGGAGTTTACTTCCACCATATTAATCCCAGCTGTTAATATTTCTACTATCCTGGTAAGATACCTATTTTTAGTTAATGAAGCACAACTACACTGGTGGTATCTTATCTTCGTTATTATTAGTTTTATTTACTCTCTCCCCTCACAATGCGGAAAGCATTCATCACACAGGTATCTACAGTATTTAACTACTTGGTGAACTGGGGCAGCAAGTGCTATGAGACATGCTTATACGTCTCACCTTGCCCGGGAAGGATTCATTTCCCTATTGTGGGAGCTGAAAGAATGTTCCTGGCTCTCCTCTTTTTCTGCCTTAGCCGAAATTTATTGAGTCTTTAAGCAGGCCCTTTAGTTCTCGTTCTTGAAGACGCGTATGTAATTTGCTTCCACAATCACCTTCTAGCGCATTCTAACTCTTTGCCACTCTGAGATTAAATATATGCTGTACGTTCTAACGTCCCTGTGGCTCAATCTCTTCGTTCCTACAGCGCGTCCTCGTCGTTGGTCACCGCTTCTCCAATAGTCTCTTTCTACCAAGTCAATTTCTCTTATACGTATTTTTTTTTACATCGTTATCATTTTCCATCTGATCACTCATCGCCTCTCCTCCACTGTCTTCAGGTTCTGCTCATCGTTCTGAAACAAATCTCGTTGCAAACCTTCGGCCCTTTTCTAGTTTCTGCATGTGTTTGGTTGGGGTGAGTGCTGCAGTTCATACCCAAGACTCTTACGTCGTGTACAGATTGGTGAAGAATTGTTTATCCTCCTAATACTGCTCTGAGATTTGCTTATCTTTCACACACCACCGGAATTGCATTGTTTTATGCTCTGTGTTGCGATATATTTGGACTATAAGGTAATTTTCTTTATTTGCGAGGGTTGTTCTCCAGCTTTTGGGCCCCGCCTTTGCTCATCGATTGCCTGGTGTAGTTTGCGCCTGGTCCTATTGAGCTGTCATACATCTCTTCCTAATAGCACAGAGAACTGCTTCACATATCCCCGCTCTCTCACTTATACTAAGTTTCCATTCATGTGGATTTTTTCGTGTCGTCCCTCGTCAGTGTCCCTATCCGACTCCTCGTTTTTCACCATTCTTCTTACACATTACTCAATGTCAATTCCTGAAAATTATCTATATAGGGTAATTACAGGTTAAGTTACATACACATATTAGAACGTATAGTCAGCCACAAGCAACTTAAAAAAATGGGAAAGGCATAAAACATTTAGCAACGGATGTCTTGGCGAATATGAGCAAAGTTTAAATATGCACCCACATCACAGGTGATACGGGTTGCACTAAATCTACTTTGAGAGGGTTAGGGCTCCTACTCTATCTTCGCTTCTCTTGTCCTTTTAGTTTTGGAAGCAACCTGGTGACAAACCTCTGAACTTTCGCAAGTGTCCAAGTATGCTGAGTGAAGAAAGGGTAGAATGGGGGCGCTGCACATCTCACTGCTGCTCTTACGTGTATGCTTAATGCTCCGAATGTCTCCTTTATATTTCTGAATGTTAATTCTATATTTGCAAGCTCTGCATATGCCACTATTATCTTGTGTGTGCGCGCGCACACCCCAGTAATTCTCTACTTTTCTGATTATGAATTACCGAACCTGAATCCTGGAGGCAGAAGTACAGTGCCTTCACTATATGAGAGGTGGGGATGTCGCAGTTCGGAGTGTCATTTGAACTGCGATGCCTGCGCACTTCTGGCAAGATCACTAAGGCCAGTGATGAAAGAGTTACTTTCGGTCACCTTACATTGGTGGGGTAACTGCCGAGGCAGTAAACGATATTACACACCATACATAAAAGGAAATCATCTTCACTGCTGTACAAGTAAGACGTTTAATAACTGGGTATTCAAATGGCCACACATGATGCAGGAATGATTTGATCCCTGCAACCACAATTAGATGAGTATACCTGCATGGAGTGTGCCTGTGTACGCACACGCTCATACAGCACGCACACGCACGCTCATACAGCACGCACACGCACGCTCATACACAGACACATTACACACTGGAGAGCACGCGCTAGTTTCACTTACCTTTTTCGCAATAGCCTGTACCTCACTACACAAAACACCTTCCTACCTACATAAATTTTCCCGCTGCCCCCTTCTCCATCCACCTACGCACAAGCTGAGTGTAAAGCCACGTAAGAATGATCCCAATTTGATTTTACACTCAACAATGTGGTATTTGAAGACTGAGACAACACGGTTAAAATAAAACAACACTTTCGTATCCCTGGAATCTAGGTTATTCCTCGACTAGGAAGATGCCTGTAGGTAACTCAGTTTGCTGTGTTGATCTCTCCACTAGCACAAATAAATGACAACTCACTCCTTGACACATACTCTTACGTAAATATCACTTAACTGTTTATTACATACACGAGACCCATGATAGCACTGAAATTTCAAAATACACTTTAACGCTCCTTAAGTATTGTACCTGGGAAAACAATTTGCCAGGTAGGTAGTAATGTAGGAGACTAATGGAACCACTGCTACTAGTATCTGAACACAAAAATACCATTTGTATAAATTTGTTACTGGTATTAAAAACGATAATTTAGAATCATTTAAGTTAAAGTAACCTAAATAACTAACGATGTTGTCTATAGATTAAATCGTACAGATTTTGAAGCACTTAATCAAGACGCTTGAAAATGAAAGATATATTTGTTTACCATACTTATACAGGAAATGAAGTGCTGGGACATAGTGACCTTTGAGTGTTGGTATGAAGTAACAGGCGGGTGGAGCAACCCCCTCCCCCGTACCACCACCTAAGGGAGTCCTGGTGACCTTCACTGACCACTCACCATCTTATTCCGTTACAACCTCCCCAGCCCCCCCCCCGTGGACGTCACACTTTTACCCTTTAGGACTCCTGAATTCAAGAGGGGCGGCTTAATGCTGATGAAAGCCACGGAATCAGAGTGACCCTAATTATCTCCCTTTCCCCGGGCGCTGTATGACCCCACCACTCCTGCCAGCCACACCAGGCGGGTGTGGTGGAGAGTATGAAAGCTTTTTACATTACTATCCTCTCGTGTCAAACATCTAGATAATATATAACAGGAGCTAATTATAAAAAAGTAGGCAGTCTCGGTATGGACGCCTGCTGTTTTTCTCGTACACAGTTACCTGAAAATTTCAGGGGTCACCGCCCCTGCACCAGTCCCAGACCAAGCTTCTGGCTGAGGTTGTGATCAACCAGTCCAAGAATGTCACCACAACCCGACTGATCGGAAGCTATCTTGAGGAACTTATCCATTCCCCTCTTGAAGACGCCTAGGGGTCTATTGATAATTCCTCTCAAATGGAGAGTGCTGAAAAGTCTTGGTCCCTTTACACTTATTGAGTTGGCTCTATACTACCCCTGCACCATCTGTCGAGTTTCTTGCTCTCGCAGCATGTAACTTCGACAAGTTATTTTGAACTATCCCTCCACAATTTTCCAATAGTGAATTATGATGCATTTTTATTTCTTGCGTTCTAGGGAGTCAGTTTAAAGGCGGAGCCAGGAGCCGAGACTAGACACCTGCGATCAGATAATAAGTGGGTCAAGGCAGAAGAGGCAACAAGTATATAAGTAGGTGATAGACATAAAACAACCTAAGCCTTTATTGCAACATTTAGCTCAAGAACTTTATCTAGTTAGAGCCTAACGAAATTCTCCTTGAGCAGAACGTTATAATATTTTCAATGGCGTTTCGTGAGTATCATTGGGCCAACATGACAAGAGGGTGAGGTATGGTAAGTCTAACTGGATGCAGTATGGATCAGTAGCGGGCGATCGATGTCGAGGAAACCTGTCCAGACTAAACCCCTGCTACATACGTTGTATGCACCTCCAGACAGAAAAGTGGCTTCCTTACAGAGTAGAGTCAATATACTGCTGCTGAAAATTCCAATTTTCGTCTAGCATATGTGTAAAAAAAATTTGTGTATACACTGGGACTATGGCGTGTTTACCCATCTGTGAATGCATCCAAACCAAAATGTACACCCAGGTGTGCATAGAGCTACGAGCCGTAACTGAGAAGACATTTTTACTCTGTTAAATAAACTGTCCAATTATACGAGTGACATGGAGACCTGTTAAATGTTTTGCACTCTGACAGGATTATTGTATTTTCTGTCTTATGAACATGGTGGCTTACAGGAAAAGCTTACAAATATCTATTTATGTGCGTTGCACACACTTAGCTTTATTCTCCACCATATTTCTTACTTGTTCTTATTCTTGTAATATTTCACTTCCAATTTAGGAGGCCTGACATAAGTAACCGACACTCAAGGAACTTGGTATACCCAGGAAACTTATACCCAAGAAACTTGGTATACCCAAGGAACATAGAGAGTGATGGCAGAAGCTGAGGCTAAAGAAGAACTTGGTTTAACAAGCCTCAAGGAAAAGTCTGATGACTGTGAAGCTGAAACAAGTGTGCTCCAGCAACAACAGAAAAGTGATAATGAAGATGAGGAACTTGAATGTGCAGTTTGCTTACAGAAGTGTGTTCACCCAGTCCGCCTTCCTTGCTCTCACATTTTTTGCTTCCTTTGTGTCAAGGGTGTAGCAAACCAGAGCAAGAGGTGTGCTATGTGTCGGCAGGAGATACCTGCAGACTTTCTCGATCACCCGACTCTCCTCTCGTCTATAGAGGCAGAGAAGGAAGAGGTTCTCCCAGGAGGATATCAGTGGTTCTATGAAGGACGTAATGGTAAGTTACTTTTTATTTCTCATATGCACCACAGTAACTATAACTACAGTGGACCTTCGAGTTTCATAAGCCTCGGGTTTCGTAAATTTTACCTTTCGACGACTTTTTTCGTCAAAATATAGCCTTGCGGTTCGTAATTTGCCTTGCCACTCATCGGTCATCCGGAATGTGTACAAGCGGCCTCCCAGTGTCCCTGCCACACAAAGGCGCCCCACACACCATTCCCAGTCAGTGTGGCATTGTTTATTGGCGAGTGACCATCACCCCATGCTTTCATATGATACATTTCGTAATATTCCATTCTTTTTTGTGCTTGCAACTGCTAAATAAGCCACCATGGGCCCAAAGAAAGCTTCTAGTGCCAGCGCTTTGGTAAAGAAGGCGAGAAACACAATAGAATTCAAGAAAGAACACACCAGACAGGGTACTTCCCCATACACACGATTTGATTTGAGTGGGACTTGCGCATGAGTGAATAGAATTATCAAAGCTTATTGCTTGGGGAGCATTGAAAATTGGGTTGGGCAAGTATTCTGTTAGTGGGATGGTTTGTGAAGGACCTGCCTAGTATGGGCCAACAGGCCTGCTGCAGTTTCCTGCTTTCTTATGTTCTTATGTTCTTATAAGCCTAGGCCGCGGAGGCGATGATTTAAAGAACTACTGACAATTACAACAAATCTGAACATGCTGAAAAATATCTGTAATATACACAGACTTTGCAAAAGCATTTGACAAATGCGATCATGGCGTAATAGCCCATAAAATACGTGCTAAAGGAATAGGAAAGTGGGGAGATGGATCTTCAACTTCCTAACAAATCGAACACAAAGAGTAGTGGTCAACAGAGTTAAATCGGAGGCTGCCATAGTGAAGAGCTCTGTTCCACAAGGCACAGTACTCGCCCCCATCTTATTCCTTATCCTAATATCAGACATAGACAGAGATATACACCACAGCACCGTATCATCCTTTGCGGATGATACTAGGATCTGCATGAGGCTGTCATCTGCTGAGGACGCGGTTAACCTCCAAGAAGATATAAACAAAGCTTTCCAGTGGGCAACGGTAAACAATATGATGTTCAATGAGAACAAATTCCAACTACTCCGTTATGGAAAACTGGAGGAGATAATAACTAGAACAGAGTATACTACTGACTCCGGTAATACAATAGAGCGGAAAAATAATGTAAGGGACCTGGGAGTAGTAATGTCTGAAGATCTCAGTTTCAAGGATCGCAACAATGCCACGATCGCACGTGCAAAGAAAATGATAGAATGGATAATGAGAACTTTCAAAACGAGAGGTGCCAAGCCAATGATGATCCTGTTCAAATCACTTGTTCTCTCTAGGCTGGAATACTGCTGTACATTAACATCTCCATTCAAAGCAGGTGAAATCGCAGATCTAGAGTGTACAGAGATCCTTTACTGCACGTATAAGTTCTGTCAAGCACCTTAACTACTGGGAACGCTTGGAAGCACTTGACTTGTACTCGTTGGAACGCAGGAGGGAGAGATATATCATAATCTACACTTGGAAAATCTTGGAAGGAATGGTCCCAAATCTGCACACAGAAATCACTCCCTACGAAAGTAAAAGACTGGGCAGGCGATGCAAAATGCCCCCAATAAAAAGTAGGGGCGCCATCGGTACACTAAGGGAAAACACCATAAGTGTCCGGGGCCCAAAACTGTTCAACAGCCTCCCATCAAGCATTAGGGGAATTGCCAATAAGCCCCTGGCTGCCTTCAAGAGAGAGCTGGAGAGATACCTAAAGTCAGTGCCGGATCAGCCGGGCTGTGGCTCGTACGTTGGACTGCGTGCGGCCAGCAGTAACAGCCTAGTTGATCAGGCCCTGATCCATTGGGAGGCCTGGTCATGGACCGGGCCGCGGGGGCGTTGATCCCCGGAATAACCTCCAGGAGTGTGATATTTAGCATTAATATAATCATCAGCAATCTCTGGTAATCTACCGAACAAAACAATGGTAAAAGAATGTATTTAATTAAACAAACCAATGTATCTGCATACTGCTGCTAGTCTGGCTACTTGGCACAAGCCGCGGCATCATAAAGTAATCTCTGCAAGTGGTGTGCATTAGTATGCTATGGAGACTTACTTGAGGGCGGCAGTGGAGCCATGCTCTGAATAGGTCACAACACCAAATAAGGCTCCCAGGTGACTTAACAAAGATTTAGGTCACTTGTTAAACGTAACCTGCCTTAGCTCCATTTTATATACTGTATCAACACACTGCAGCCAGTACTTGATCAAATATATAAACGTACTAGAAAAGATAGAATGGTTTACCACCATAATTCATAAAAAGCTAAGGGCTCTGCCACCCACTCTGCAATGGTATTTGGATATCAAGGTCACAACTAATCGATGTAAAGAATGAAATTTTTATTAGTATCATAGAAGCGAGTACTTTGGATAGCTTTAAAAATAAGATGGACAGGTATACGAATGGTGTTTCTTCATTCTTCTCGTAACAGCAACATCTAACAGTTCGTCACGAGATTACTACCGGAACTGAGTGTGAAGGGAAGAAGTGGACTACGAGAAGAAACTTAAGGAACTCAAGAACTACACTAGAAAAGAGGACCAAGGAAAACGTGATTACGACACTTGCAAACATGAACTTAAACACCATGGAGCCAGATCCATACACTTAACCTACAAGCAATTCACTTCAGACGCAGGCGACAGGTTTCACAGGCTGAGGATGGAACACGCGTTGGATGCAAGCGTATCAATTTCAAAAAGAAAGGGACAGAGATTAATTTACAGGCGACCTCCAGTGGTGCATAGTACATGCTGGACTCAGTCATCCTACAACTAGCCACCCAGTATATGTTGTACCGATTACCGGTCTCGTGGGCTCTTCTACCCCCATAGCCCGGCCTATATTGAAAATGGTATAAAACACCGACAAGAAATAAAGGAGCTGGAGCCACCTCAAATTGTACTTGACAAGGACGTACGCTGTAGAACAATCTTTTACTGGGACAACGTTTTGCTGTGCGATAAAGCTCTACGTAGGGCGAAATACTGTCCAGGATGGCAGCCTGGAGGCGAGTCTTCTCCTGCTCAAGCTGGTATATATACTCTGCTGTTTGCTGCAGGATGGCAGCCTGGAGGTTATTCCGGGGATCAACGCCCCCGCGGCCCGGTCCATGACCAGGCCTCCCGATGGATCAGGGCCTGATCAACTAGGCTGTTACTGCTGGCCGCACGCAGTCCAACGTACGAGCCACAGCCCGGCTGATCCGGCACTGACTTTAGGTATCTGTCCAGCTCTCTCTTGAAGGCAGCCAGGGGTTTATTGGCAATTCCCCTAATGCTTGATGGGAGGCTGTTGAACAGTTTTGGGCCCCGGACACTTATGGTGTTTTCTCTTAGTGTACCAATGGCGCCCCTACTTTTTATTGGGGGCATTTTGCATCGCCTGCCCAGTCTTTTACTTTCGTAGGGAGTGATTTCTGTGTGCAGATTTGGGACCATTCCTTCCAAGATTTTCCAAGTGTAGATTATGATATCTCTCTCCCTCCTGCGTTCCAACGAGTACAAGTCAAGTGCTTCCAAGCGTTCCCAGTAGTTAAGGTGCTTGACAGAACTTATACGTGCAGTAAAGGATCTCTGTACACTCTCTAGATCTGCGATTTCACCTGCTTTGAATGGAGATGTTAATGTACAGCAGTATTCCAGCCTAGAGAGAACAAGTGATTTGAAAAGGATCATCATGGGCTTGGCATCTCTCGTTTTGAAAGTTCTCATTATCCATCCTATCATTTTCTTTGCACGTGCGATCGTGGCACTGTTGTGATCCTTGAAAGTGAGATCCTCAGACATTACTACTCCCAGGTCCCTTACATTATTTTTCCGCTCTATTGTATGGCCGGAGTCAGTAGTATACTCTGTTCTAGTTATTATCTCCTCCAGTTTTCCATAACGGAGTAGTTGGAATTTGTCCTCATTGAACATCATATTGTTTACCGTTGCCCACTGGAAAACTTTGTTTATATCTTCTTGGAGGTTAACCGCGTCCTCAGCAGATGACAGCCTCATGCAGATCCTAGTATCATCCGCAAAGGATGATACGGTGCTGTGGTGTATATCTCTGTTTATGTCTGATATGAGGATAAGGAATAAGATGGGGGCGAGTACTGTGCCTTGTGGAACAGAGCTCCAAATAAAGCTTGCCTTGCAACTTGGTGTGCTTATACTGTCGGCAATATGTTATTTCACCCAAATTGTGCTCCCTGGAGGGCAAGCGAGAAAAATATAATTTACGCGAAGTGGGACAAGAACTAAATCTTGAGACGACATTACTCCTTACAAAAGCAGGAGACATGATTAACTGCAAAATACCCGCAACAAAAGGCAGGGGTTCAGAGAGTACACAGATTACTCGATAAACATAAAAGGTCAGACTTTACAATGACCTTCCATCAAGGATAAAGGGAATTACTAAATTATCCTTAAATGTCTTCAAGAGGAAACTTTGTTAAATGAAGCAAAGTCCTGATCTGCCAAGTGGTTATGCTTGTGTCGGACTGCGTGCAGCAGCTAGCCCAGTCTCACTTATCAGGCTAGCCTTGTAATGGAACTGGAACATAGGAACTACGATACCCGAAAATATGAGGTAACCTGGTATGGTAAAATGACAGGGTAAATGCAGAGAAAACATTTATATTAAAGGCAACGTATCGCCCACATAGGGGTTTTATTAAGGTAACCTGATGTGAAAGCAATAGTGACACCTGAAGGTAGAAACCTACGAAGTCCCTTTTTACTCTTACAGATGAATTTAAAATGAGTTTACACAAATAACCCACTCATAGGAGAGGGGAGCCTACGATGACGTTTCGGTCCGACTTGGACCATTTACAAAGTCAAGTCAGTATGACTTTGTAACTGGTCCAAGTCGGACCGAAACGTCGTCGTAAGCTCCCCTCTCCTATGTGTGGGTTATCTGTGTACTGTTCCAGTCACGGTATTGTGCCTTTTTGTTTAAAATGAGTTTCCTAGCTGTTATTATCGCAAGGAAAAAAAATATTAGCCCTGTGACTTTCACTATATCATACCTGTGGCTTACCAGTGTCAGTTCCGAGTTTTTGTTAGGGGCTCGGCCCCAGGATAGGCTTGTCTGCTCAGTCAAGCGACTAGGTCAGTTGACAGAATTGCCACGCACGATTTATTAACTTGTTGACACTCGCATCCTAAACACTAATTAATTTAGCTGATTATCGTCTTTCTCAAAACACTGCATAATACCATAATCTCCTGAACACACGTCACTTGACCTGACCCAAGCCTTATCCTTGTTTCTTCTGAAAGGTCTTCGGGAATTTCTTCACTTGACCTGTCTTCTAGTTTTCTTCTCATTTTCTTTATTGTGACTTCATAATGACTCAGAACGAATCAAAATGTCGAAACATTTCTTTTCAAAGTGTGTGTTTGACGTGAATTGTTCCAGCCACAGTATCGGTACTTTTATTTATAATATTTACAGTTTCATGAACATTTATAGTATGCCCTTCTAGTACTGGAAAGCGTCCCCCTTCGCCCCCAGGACAGCCTGAATTCTTCATAGTATGGATTCAGCTAGGTGCTGGAATCACTCCTTGGAGATTCTGCCCCTGTTAACATATCATGCAATTGATGCAGTTGTCAGTTGCACATTCATGGTGAGAATCTCCTATTCCCGTTCCACATCCCAAAGGTTTACACCAAATTCTGACCCTACCATCTATATGTCGCAGCAGATATCATATTTGTCAGACTAACTGAGCCAGTGCCCACTATAGCCTCAGCTTCCTGTTCGAAGCTGACAGGAGTGGAACCTGTTGTGGTCTTCTGCTGCTGTAGCCCATCTACTTAAGGTTCGACGTCTGCATTCTGAAATGCTCCTCTGCATACTAGTTGTAATTCATGGTTATTCGAGTTACTGTCGCCTTCCTGTCAGCTTGAACCAGTCTGGCCTCTCTCTGACCTTATTAATAAGACATTTTCGCATACAATACTGCCAATCACTGGCTTCCCCCCCCCCCACACCATTTTCAATAAATTCTAGAAAATATGCGTGAAATTCCCAGACCAGCAGTTTGAGATAGTACTCAAACCACCCAGTCTGGCACCAACAATCATTTCATGAAAAATGACAAATCATATTTATTCACCCATTCTGATGTTCAGTCTACATTCTTTTAGGCACTGAGGTGCTGCCACATAATTAGCTGATTAGATATTGCATTAATGAGTAGGTGTACCTGATAAAGTGGCCACTGAGTGTGTGTGTGTTTATTATATGCTTTATGCTTCTGCCTTGCCTCAGAATTTTCTCCCTACAATCTGTTGCTAATCTTGCAACACTGCATGGCTCCTGACGACACAGTGCAAAAGATCTTGTATGTGTGTGTGTGTATATATATACACATGTATATTTTTATATTAACACATCGACCTTCTCCCACCAAGGCAGGGTGGCCCGAAAGAGAAAAACTTTCATCATTCACTCTAGCACTATCTTGCCAGAGGTGTGCTTCCACTACAGTTATAAAAGCATCATTAACATCCCTCCTTCAGAGGGGTGTTAATGTTGCATACACACACACGTCAAAAGTGTCCTGATGGAGCCACTATGCTACCCTGGAAGGATGGAAAGCAGATTGCCTGGGACTACACCTGTGCCGCCACATTGGCAGACACCTACTTGCCATACTCCGTAGTGGAAGGGGGTGGAGCCGCCAGCCACAGGGAGACCCAGAAGATCCGAAAATATGAAGACCTTCCCCCTTGCTATAACTTCATTCCAATAGGGTCGGAGACCCTTGGAGCATGGGGCAAGTGTGCTCTAAAGTTCCTCAAAGAGCTGGGTGAAAAGCTCATCAAAGAAACCAAGGACCACAGGGCGACCAGCTTCCTCTTTCAGAGACTCAGTGTTGCGATCCAGAGAGGAAATGCCTGCAGCATTCTGGGCACGCGGCCCACCGCAGGGGAGCTGGACGAAGTATTCGAGATGTAGCTCTGAGTTACCTATGTTGTTTTACTTTCTGTTGTATTTTTGTGAATGTTTGGCCAATGTATTTTGTCTTTAAATAAAACATACAGTGGACCCTCGACCAACGATGGCATTGATTAACGATAAATCTGACTAGCGATACATTTTAACGCAAAAATTTTGCCTCGATTAGCGCTAAAAAACTCGACCAACAATATTCGTTCCGTCTGAGACGCGTCCACTTCTGGCCAGTGTTTACAAGCCAGCCAGCCACAGTGGTCACTTCCAAGGATACAATCGGAACATTTCATATTATCACAGCCTTTTTAGTGATTGCACCTGCAAAATAAGTCACCATGGGCCCCAAGAAAGCTTCTAGTGCCGACCATACAGCAAAAAGGGTGAGAATAACTATGGATATGAAGAAAGAGATCATTGCTAAGTATGAAAGTGGAGTGCGTGTCTCCGAGCTGGCCAGGTTGTACACAAAACCCCAATCAACCATCGCTACTATTGTGGGCAAGAAAACGGCAATCAAGGAAGCTGTTCTTGCCAAAGGTGCAACTATGTTTTCGAAACTGAGATCGCAAGTACTCGAAGATGTTGAGAGACTGTTATTGGTGTGGATAAATGAAAAACAGATAGCAGGAGACAGCATCTCTCAAGCGATCATACGTGAAAAGGCTAGGAAGTTGCATGACGATTTAATTAAAAAAATTCCAGCAACTAGTGGTGATGTGAGTGAATTTAAGGCCAGCAAAGGTTGGTTTGCGAGATTTAAAGGGAAGGGAAGTAACCCTGGAAAAGGACTTGCCCCCTCAAGTCCTAATGGAAGGGGATTCCCCTTCTAAACACTAAGACCATCAACACTCTCCCCTCCTCCCATCCCATCAATCATCACCACATCTTCAATAAAGGTAAGTGTCATGTAACTGCATGTCTTCTTCAGTTTGTGTGTATTAAAATTAATATTTCATGTGGTAAAAACAATTTTTTTTCATACTTTGGGGTGTCCTACACGGATTAATTTGATTTCCATTATTTCTTATGGGGAAAATTAACTTGACTAACGATAATTTTGACTAACGATGAGCTCTCAGGAACGGATTAATAGCGTTAGTCGAGGGTCCACTGTACTTGAAATATAGGGGGTGGTAGGAGAAAATTCTCAAACAGCTTCAGGGAGAACCTTGAGTTTTCCCTGAAGCAAGTTTATTCTTTTCTCTGAGGATGAGGGTCCCCAGAACAGTTCTAGAGGTGGTACCTCCCTATATTTTATATATACAGTGGAACCTTAAATATTGAAATTTCTTTGGTCCAGAAGGCTGTTCGAGTGCCTTTACCGAATTAATTTATTCCCATGAGGAATAATGTAAATTAGGTTAGTCCATTTCAGACCCTCAAAAATACACTTATAAAAGCACTTACAAAAATACACTTACATAATTGGTTGTGTTGGGAGCAGTTCGATTTTTGAGGTTCCACTGTTATATATATATATATATATATATATAATATATATATATATATATATATATATATATATATATATATATATATATATATATATATATATATAATGGATTTTTGAAAAAGACATATGATAGGGTGGATAGGGGGTCAATGTTGCAAATGTATGGCAAAGGAGGTAGGTTACTGAAGGCAGTAACCTACCTCCTTTGCCATACATTTGCCTCACTATCCTACGAGGATAGTGAGGCTCAGGTTAGAGTATGTAGGCAAGAGGGGAATTATTTCCCAGTAAAAGCAGGCCTTAGACAGGGATGTGTGATGTTACCATGGTTGTTCAATATATTTATTTATGGAGTAGTAAGAGAAGTGAATGCTCGGGTGTTGGCAAGAGGTGTGGGGTTAAAGGATAAAGAATCTAACACAAAGTGGGAATTGTCACAGATGCTCTTTGCTGATGACACTGTGCTTTTGGGAGATTCTGAAGAGAAGCTGCAGAGGTTGGTTGATGATAAGTTTGGTAGGGTATGTAAAAGAAGGAAGTTAAAAGTGAATACAGGAAAGAGTAAGGTGATGATGATGATAAAAAAAAAATAGGTAATGGAAGATTGGATATCAGATTGGAGGGAGAGAGTATGGAGGAGGTGAATGTGTTCAGATATTTGGGAGTGGACGTGTCAGCAGATGGGTCTACGAAAGATTAGGTGAATCATAGAATTGATGAGGGGAAAAAGACGAGTGATGCACTGAGGAGTCTGTGAAGACAAAGAACTTCATCCATGCAAGCAAAAAAGGGGACTGTATGAGAGTATAGTTATACCAATGCTCTTGTACGGGTGTGAGGCATGGATTGTGAATGTTGCAACAAGGAGTCAAGAGGCAGTAGAGATGTCATGTCTGAGGGCAGTGTGTGGTGTGAATATAGTTTGGAGATTAGGAGGTGTGAGATTACCAAAACTATTATCCAGAGGGCTGAGGAGGGGTTATTGAGATGGTTTGGACATAAAGAGAGGGTGGAACAAAATAGAATGACTTCAAGAGTGTACAAATCTGTAGTGGAGGGAAGGCAGAGTAGGGGTTGGCCTAGGAAAGGTTGGAGGGAGGGGATAAAGGAGGTTTTGTGTGCGAGGAGCTTGGACTTACAGTAAGCATGCCCGAGTGTGTTAAACAGGAGTGAATGGAGACAAATGGTTTTTAGGACCTGACATGCTGTTATGAAGGGATTCAGGGAAACCGGCAGCCCGGACTCAAGTCCTGGAGATGGGAAGTACAGTGTCTGCACTCTGAAGGAGGGGTGTTAATGTTGCAGTTTAATAACTGTAGTGTAAGCATGCCTCTGGCAAGACAGTGACAGATCGAATGATGATGAAAGTTTTTCTTTTTCGGGCCACCCTACCTTGGTGGAAAATGGCCGATTTGTTAGCAAGAACTCATTTAAAATTAAGTACTTTCAAAAATTTTGTCTTGTACATTTTAAAGATATTTTTTTTTATTTACATTAATGTAAAAATCATCAATTTTTTATCTAAAGAACCTTAGCAAACTTACCTAACCTTATTATAACAAGCACAATTTAATTTAGCCTAATCCAACTAAATATATTTTATACAAGTTCACAATCATTTAATAATAAACAAACACAGTGACATATTTTTTTTGTTAGATTCAAAATAATTTTTGTGAAATTATTGCATACACAAATTTTTGCTTGCCCTATTTGGCAAGAAGTGCATTGCTATTTAAGCAAAACAGGATGACTTAGAGGGTGTATAAACCTGTAGTGGTGGGAAGGTGGGGCAGGGGTTGTCCTAGGAAAGGATGGAAGGGGGGTAAAGGAGGTTTTGTTTGCAAGGGGCCTGTAATACAACAGGCATATGTCAGTGTGGTAGGTAGGAATGGAGACAAATGGTTTTTGGGACTTGTTGAACTGTTGGAGTGTGAGCAAGGTAATATGCTCACACAAGCCATTAGATGGGCTTTGGTCCTGGAGGTGGGAAGTACAGTGCCTGAGCTGTTTAGGGGGACATCTAAACTGTCGTATCAGCACGCCTCTGGCAAGACAGTGCCTATATTACAAATTATTCCATGTGAATAGCAGGCCCAGCACTAACTTTCAGCCTCAGTTATTATTATAATAAAAACCAAGTGCTAAACCTTTTCAGCCTCAAGAATTCTAATAGGATGATTTTCAAGCCAGCAATTCTGGGCCTTAGGTGTATCATCCACCAACAATTATGTTTGTTATGATCCCATTTTGATACACACTCCCATAGCTTTCATGTTGCATCTATTCTCATACCCATCAAAGCCATATATCCTTGCCCTATACTCCTTGATGTGAAGGTAAGAAAAATATAATTTTCACCTGGGAAAAATCTTAAGAGGGATTGGTCCAAGATGTTACCAAATGTTCCTAGTGAAATGAAGGAAAGCCATGTGTACACAGAAATAACACAATAAGTATAAGGGGTCCAAGACTATGCAACATTCACCATACATAAGGGGATTGCCAACAGACCCCTTGCTGCTATTAAGAGGGAACTGGATAAAGTCAGGTCCTGATCAGGTGTTAGACTGCATGCAGCCAGTAGTAATAGCGTGGTTGGTATGGCCCTGATCCATGGGAGGCTTAGTTGGAGGGAGGGTCATGGGGGGTGCTGACCCATGAACCTCCCCCCCCCAGGTAAGAGTCATAATGAATGATTGTCAATAAAGAGAACGAATGGGGATTCGACCAGTGGTGCATACAAGTATTAGGCCCCGTGACTGTACCATTGAGCCACATGGGTTATAAAAGAGATGTCAGTCCAGAGCACCAAAGGTCTGCTTCTTGGGAGGCTGGTGAGAGTCCTAGATTCAACCCTTGCCATCTGCAGTATTCTTTGATTTAAAACCTCTTGTTTTCCTGGTTGCATCATCCTGTCACACTCACACTCACTCTCAGGCTCAAGCACACTCATTCACTCACATGCACATACAGTCACAAGTGCACACTAACTACATTCTCTCACATACACAGCCTGGAGCTGTGAATCGACCCCTGCAACCACATATAGGTGGGTACACACTCATAGTACAACACTTTACTATGGGTTATCCAGAGTTAGATAAATTACACAACTAGCAACTACTAAGCAGAATACACATGAAAATGAATTTAAGAAAGGATACCTACCTGTACACAAAACACATGAAAAACACTCAATCTCGGACGTCACTCTGTAGGTGGCGATAGACAGACATATAAAGACAAATGGCTATAGATACAATTTTATGTTTCATAAGAATATTTTTAAGGCAAATTATGATCGTTACATCACTGGGGGAAACACTTAACCCGTAGGGTTCATCCAGTGCCTGGGGGAAATGGGAGGCACTCCGGTTCAATCCGAGAAGGCAGCTTCAATTCCTTGGATCGAGCCCCTCACCAGCATCATAGAACCTCCCTGGGGAAGGGATGGTATTTTTTAAGCTAAAATACCTGGTGACTATATGCTAGGAGCCCATAGTCCAGCCATAGGTAGTATTTACTCACTGAAGGTGGTTGTGCTGGCCAACTAGCAGGTGGTTCTGCACATAGGAACGGGAATGTTGGCTGACTTGCGGCTTAATACTACAGGTTGATGCAGACGTGGCAATTAAGTCTGGGTCACAGCTGATAGATCGGTCAATCACAGGACCAACTGGTGTAGAAGTCAAGGGCTGCCTCCCTCCTGCCGCAGCTCCGGGCGACTCCATCATCATCTACCGCCCTTCACTCCTATCTCCCGCCCCCACCGCCAATTTTCACCTAATCAGGTGCCTGGGGCCTTTATGCAGGTGTTCATGTTAACATTTTGACCGCACAGTTGTTTCTTGTAGCTCACGACTATATAACCTAATGAGACGTCAACCAACACCGACGATAACAAGACTAACTGTGTCCTGGAAAAAAACATACACACAAAAATATTAATTACTTCTTAATACTCCCATTTATACTTCTAAAGTTAAATATATTTATTATAAATTATGTCCTAACATTTTAATTTATAATTCAACATTTCATTAGCTATAAAAGGCAGTCATTTACTGTATATTTGGTCCCTGTGAGAATAACCATTCACACTTCTCTTAGAGGAAATATGTTACTTATCTTGGAGATAAGCAATACTTTCCATAGCACTTCAATAAAGAAATTGTGTTTGTATTTAATTTCACATCACAATCTTTGACGTTTCCATATCTGGGACCTTAAATAAGCTCGTTTATTATTTTTTATTAATTGTTATTGTACTGGATGGGTAGTTGAAGGCACTTTATCGATCACTGGGTAAGTGTGTACACGGATGTCAACAACCATTGAAGTTTTATTTCAAATCATCTTACAGTCAGACTTTGAATGCATAATTATTTATTTTAATGTTATTATATACAGATGCATCATTCCAAATTTTCATTTAGAAAAATGAACATCTGAAATTCAGTTAGGTAAAGTAGGGAGAAGGAGCAGAGATCAGTGGAGGGTAAGTGTTACTTTTACACCGTTCTGAGGCAAATGTAATGACAACGGCTGCGCGTGATGGGTAACTGTGGTGTTAGTGATGGAAATGTGTTGTCTTGGCCTTGCTAACGAGTCAGGGATGAGTAGCATTCAGAGGCAAGATAAAAATCATGTGAATCAGCTGATTGATCTTCCTCCAACATTATTGGAACTCTCCAGCTGTTGTGGGACTCCCACCTGGTATCTCCATGTCACGCACTTGACAAACCCACAACCTTGAAGTAACCTTTTACCTCGTATAATTTTTTGGGGGTTATCACGCGGCTCTTTACTCATTAACTCGAGGTATTTACGCCTGTTTGTGCTTGTAGTATAACTTGTGTGTCGGTTGTTAAGGAGGTTGAGAGCGGCTGCGCGACCCGGGTGTAGCGTGCGACCTGACGCACGTCTGGCCTTGTTTACTTGCGACGTAGTTCAACACAAAAGATATTTGCAGGATGGGAAGTGAAATTTAGCAGACATGTTGCGACTAGGACTAGAAACCATATCCAAAATGCCCTGGTACTTCCCGTGGTCGGATGCCATCAAGAAGAGGGCGATTAGGTACTTGCTGCAGCGGTATGTTGGACAGTTTCTGGAAGAGAAGCTCAGTTTGGATCAGCTGACAGTGGATTTGTACGAAGGAACTGGGACCATAAAGGAATTAACGTTAGATGTTGGTGCTTTAAATGAAGTAGCTGACCAGCTGAATCTTCCCCTCAGATTTGTAGATGGATATATTGGTGAAATTTGTGTGACTGTTCCTTGGAAGGCCCTTCTTTCTGAAAGTTGTTTTGTGGAAGTTTCAGGGCTGATGGTAACTATAGAACCCAAACAAAGGTCTGAGGATATATCTATGGTAGACTCGATGATTGAGTCTATGAATATGACAACTTCCATGCAGATCGCTCAGGAGTGCCTTAATCATCATGAAGAGAAGTGTGAAATGGAAGGAATCACTGACAAAGATGCTAGTCAAACAATTGAGGGCATTGAACATTTTGCTCAGGCAATAGACACAGTACTTAATAGAATTAAGGTTCGATTCCTTGACACGATTATCAGATTGGAGCACACTCCAAAAGGTAGTCAGTCAGGTGTCTCCTTAGAGATAAGAATTAAAAAGATAGACTACTTTGATGAAGCAGGATTAGGGAAAACTACTCCAAATGGTGAAGCAAGCAAAACTGGATTTGAACATCAATCATTTGCATCTAAAAAGTTTCATATTGAAGGCTTAACTATGTACACAGATGAGTTTCCTGCTAAATCTAAAGTTGTAGGTAAATCAGTAGTAATTCCTTCATCAGAATCAAATTCATCTCCTGATTCAGGTTCCAAAGTTTCAGGCTCAGGTTCTGGTGACTCATTTAAGACAGCAGATACATCCCCTGCTGAAGGTAAGCAGTTTGAATACAATCATGAGAAAACTGTCCGTAAGTTGATCACAAATTCTAGCATTCCCATGGAACCAATTCTGTTTGCAAAATTTACGGGCTCACAAGAGATTAGTTTGAAACTGAAGCAAGCAGATGTCATGGGACCTAAAGTAGATCTAAGAATGAACTGTGGATCACTTATAATGTTTTTATCACCAAGGCAGATTCATTTGCTTCTAGAGCTCTCAGAAGGTGTGGCTTCTCCAGACAAATTGGACTTAGAGCCCAGTGATCCTAGGATTTTAGGGGGAAAGCAAAAACCAATGGATCCAAATGATTTCAGGAAAGTTGAAAATGAACTTCTCAAGGAATTAAGAACACCACCTGTGTCTAGTCATGCTCTGAATCAACATCAGGGTTGGTCAGTTACTCCACTAGAGGATAGTGATGATGAGTTTTTCCCCATGAGTGGTGGCAGTAAAGGACTTGCTAGAAATATGTCAAGTAGTCAGTTGTCTAGTTGCTCTGATATGGATAGCTCATTTAGTTCAAACATGTCTAGCAGCACAGTGAGGTCTGCTTCAGCTGGAGTGTCAACTACGCCTTCATTTCGTTACACTGGTGTTGGTGTGATGGTAGGAGATCATTCTGTTGGTGGACCAGGAAGGAAAAAAAGTGAGCAGAGTGGAAGCAGATTAACAGATGATCCTTCTGCAGTTGCAACCCATTTCAGAGTGCAAATTAGCAGTGTAGCAGCTGTGGTTCTTCATGAAGATATTTTGACAACATATGTAGAGAACTCAAATATGGTGTCAAAGGCATCAGTAGCTGAAATGCAAGCCAAATCTGAAGATTTTTTTTTAACCCTTGGTGTACATGGGTTATCTGGTTATAGCTATAATATTTTTCAGGAAGCTAGGAAAAGATTCAGTGAAGCATGTCAGGTTAATCATCTGAGATTTATGGCAGCCCCATTAACTGTGGAAGGAAGTGAGAAAAGCTTAGCAAATAAATGGGAGATGAGTGTTAATATGTCTTTAGGTTGGGCTGAAATACTCGAGTGCCTTGTGGACTCCTCGGTATCTCCAGTGAAGATAGAATATTCAGAATTACTGTCTTTCAAAGAAAAGATAAAAGAACCCTTATCTGAAGCTATTTATAGTGGTGCCATTGAGCCCAGACTTAGAATAAGCATTTCTCAGTCTCAAAATATGACTCCCACTGGAAGAACCCGAAGATTGAGCACACCAAAGTTGGATATTAAAGTGAGCCTGGGTGATTGTGTGTCAGAGATTGATATGTCTATTGTAGATCGTATTAGTGCTCTAATTAATAGGCAAGAGGTTTGTACAAAGGCTACAGAGGACAGTTTTTCCCCAGAGCTTCCACCTAGCTATATAAATAATCAGGCGTGCTTCAAGCAAACTCTTGATGATGCAACATTACACCCAGAAACACGTGTAAATATTAAAGTTTCATCAACGTCCTTCACTTTCAAACTTAGGTTTCCCATACCTGACTTGAGACCTACATCCAATATGGACCGAGTGCCATGGTGGAAGAGAAATATTAGAAAAGATATTTTTTCATTAGTATTGCAGGACTTTGAGTTTGTTACTACTGTAGATCCTCACATGCCTTACAGTAGTTATGAGATACGAAGTGGTGATGTACATGTGTATTTTCAAGAGCGAGAAGAGGATGTTCCCATATCACTATTGCAAGCTAGCTCTAGTAAAGGTGCTGAAAGAGGATTTGATCTTCCACATGTTGTTGTGATGGTTCATCCACTACAACCATGGATGTCCCTAGAAGAAGAAGCTCCTAGACAAGAAAGCATCATGACTAAGTCTATGATGGGGTTTTTAGAAGAAGTAAGTGAAACAGAACCAAACCCTTTTAGTCGTAGAAAAGTAGCCACCCAACAAGCTGGAGATAATGATGTAGGTGAAATAACTATACCTGCTGACAAGGAAGAAGTTCTAGAATTTATGGAAAATATACTTAAAAATGTTCAGTTGAATATAGAGCTTCACTTGCCTAATTCACAGTTAATACTACCCTCTAAACATATATATGAGGTATTGTATAATAGATTGGTGTCAGACCTATTGTTGTGGGAACCCTCTGCTCCCAAACCAGCAAGTCAGAGCAACCGCAATTTGGGTTTTGCTCAAGGTGGGTTGGATCTGGCTTCGGTGTTTATGAATGAAAGTATTTACCAAAGTACAACACAGTTTACCATGTGCCCTTCAGCACATGCTGCTGGAAGTGATAGTGAAGAGGAAGGAGAGTCACAATTTTTTTCAGTGTATGAACACAAAGCCAGGCAAAGAATGAAACAGCAGCAGCTTCATGAACCAAGTAAGAACAAGAAACAAACAACTTTGGCATTTAAACTCACACTGGGTCATGCTGTGGCCAGTATACGAACCCCATATAGAGATTCCAAGAACAACGTACTTCCAGGCCAGCATGGTGAAGTAATGATAGTTGTTGATCAAGGTACAATATTTAATGCAACTGGTTACCAAGGGAATCCAGATTTGGGTTACACCTGCATTTGGGCTGAAAAAGGGCATATATATCACAAAGCAGCCAATATCACTCCAGACCGTCCAGTAATATTAGATCCCGTAACCCCACTGTCTACTTCACAATTAGATGCTATACTTTATCCTAATGATGATGGTGTTATAACAAGATTAGGTGCAGGAGTGAATCAGAGTGAAGATTGCCAAGATCAGATCACTTTAGCATTGAAAATGGACTTCAGTTTGAGCCGTAACCTGAAAACTATCATTTTAGCAGGCTGTGTAAGAGGAACTACACTTCGTCACTATATGTGCAGCAGTCCAGAGAGTTGGGTTACACAACTTGGGGATATGTTTGGTGTCCAAGATTATCCTATTGCAGGTTATGTGATTCCATCTATTGTTGTAGAAATGAATCTTCACTTATGGGGATGTGCTTTGGATTATCGTCCCTTACACTTACCATTAAGAGCAATGTTAACTGTTGATGCATGCTCCATTTCTAGCAATCTAACACTTGCAAGTGATGTAAATGTTTTACATTTTATTATTGAAGATGCAGCTCTCTTTTTATCAGACAAACTTTCTGTACGTAGTGTTGACTTAAAGAAGAATTACATTTGTGTAGCAGATTTAGGAGTTTTTGAATTGTGCTTAAGAATGCTAATAGATAAGAAGGAAAAGAAACCTAAATTTGATTTATTGGCTTCTAATAATATGATTCATGTTCGTACTTGCGCTGATTCTTGCAAAGCATTGCTGGAGCTCTTGATCTACTTTGCCAGTGATGGAGATCTGACAAAAGAAGCCTCAACAGTAACGACAACAGAAGCTGCACCTGCTAAAATATATCCCACAAGTGTTGCCTTTTCTCCCACCAGTGAATGTGCAACCATGAAACCTTCTGAAACTCAAGAGACCACTTTCAACCTACGGCTGAAAGAAAGTGATTCCCAGCAGTTGGAGATTGTTAGAGGTATGATGGATGATGCTATGATTGAGTCAACACCTTCATCATCATCATGTGAAGATGATGAAACTGACCCAGCTCAGTATTTGAAGAAAGGGGTGGAAGTGTTTTTCTTTCCAGATGATAACATTAAGCAGAATATAATTTCAGTGCCAGCTGCTTCAAAAGATTTATCTAAGAAAGAGGAGACAACCTGTGATGCTGAACTAACAGACACTGAATATGCCCTTAAGGAAGCATTGAAGGAACAATTGGACAATCATTTTGAAGAATGTAGCTCTGGTACTGATGAAGAGTTCTGTATTCTTGATGATGCACCTGGCACAGGCATCAAGTCTCCGTCTGGTGAACCACAGGTGCGACTCTTAACTCAAGACCCCATTATTATTATTGACAACCATTTTTCTATTCCTCTTGGTAAAGTTGATCAGCTCAGGGCTCCTAAACATTTCCCCACTGCATCAGTAAAGTATACTCTTCAAGAGTTGACAGTTGTGTGGCACATGTATGGTGGCTCTGATTTTAAGACTCCATCTTACAGTACACCTACTCACACTCGTCGTGTTACTATCAGTGACTCCAATGGCAATCCAGACTATGTTTGTGGAAGTTATCCATCCAGTACACCTTCACCACAGATGACTTACATTTCAACTGAACCCTCTGTAACAGTAAGAGCTGGTGAGGCTCATTTTTCAGCTGGTCACACATCACCCACAACTTTTAAGACATCTCCACCTCATAGTCCACAGCAACGATCACATATGGTGTGGCAAGCAGTTGGGGGTCCAGGCCGGAAACACGATACTCTCCTAGAACTGCAGTTAAGCAAAGTTCGTTTCCAGTATGAGATTTATCCTGAAACTGTTCAACAGGCATCCAGGAATGTCCTCCTCATTCATGATGTAGAAATAAGAGATAGACTTACTTCTTCCAAGATTAACAAATTCCTGTATCAGTTCTCATCTGAGACATGTCCACGTCAAGCTCATGCAAATATGGTTCAGGTAAAAGTGCTTACCACAAGACCTGATGGACAGCATGGTCCTCAGGAAACTAGTCTCAAGATCTCTTTGCAGCCCATTAGACTTCATGTAGATCAAGATGCACTCCTCTTTCTCTTTCAATTCTTCGAAGAGCTCCTTGCATCAGATAAAGTGGGAGAAACTGGAGAGGAGGAACGACCACAGTCAGCAACCCTGGTTCAAGCTCCAATTATGACTGTAAATCTTAATCAGACTGCTCAGCCCACTGCAATGGATAATCAACAACTCCTTGTTAATTTAGAAGAGAAATCACCATTGTCAGAAACAGAGGAAAAAATCAGTAAGGCTGATGAAAATTCTCCACCATACTTTAAATCTTTTGTGTTCTCTCCTGATGTACCTATCAAGATTGATTATCATGGCAAGCATGTAGATATTCATTCTCAGTATGGACCTATTGCTGGTCTGATAATTGGACTAGGACAGCTTAATCAGTCTGAATTAACCTTGAAAAGCATTGTTCATAAATCTGGCCTCCTGGGAATGAACAAGCTAATTCAGTACGTTACTAATGAATGGGTGAACGACATTCGGCGCAATCAACTTCCGTCTGTTTTAGGGGGTGTTGGGCCAATGCATTCTGTTGGCAAGTTGGTCGGAGGTATTCGAGACTTATTTTTGTTGCCCATTGAGCAGTATCAAAAAGATGGTAGATTAGTACGTGGTATTCAGCGTGGAACATCAGCCTTTACCACTTCTTCAGCACATGCTGCTCTTGATTTAACAGGACGTTTTGTAGGATTTATTCAGTCAACTGCAGAGACAATGTATGACATGGTATCTTCTGGACCTAGTGTGCGTCATAGATATCGATTACGTGCTGGTCAGCCCCAAGATATCCGTGAGGGAGTTACTACAGCATATGGTGTTGTTAGAGATGGAATTGGAGAGACAGCTTCAGCAATTGTGCAAGCAGCAACAGAGGAGCATCAGCACAAAGGAGTATCGGGAGCCATTGGTGGAGTGCTACGTCAGATTCCACCCACTGTTGTTCAACCAATTATCCTGGCATCCGAAGCTGCTGGTACAGTGATAGGAGGAATGAAGAACCAATTAGTGCCTGATGCACGTAGGGAAGCGGCTGATAAATGGAAAGCATAAGTGAGCACGAAAAAATACAAAGTGTGTGATTGATGTTCCTGTCAAACACCCTTCATAATAGACATGACAATACAGGGTTTGATCTGTGTTGTTGCCTCTGTGATCGCTGCACTGTGCCACAGTTTGTAGTTTATTTCTGCAAGACTTTATCAATGCATGTAATGGAAAAAATATAATTTCAGGATTTTTCCTCAGTGGGAGACATGCAGTTTGTGCCTCACTTTGTTATTGTGAAGTTGATGATTATTTAATTTTTATGTTTATGTATTGTGATAATGTGGGTATGTGCTAGTGAATGAAGTTTATGCATTCTTTAGTTATTAAGACAATTTAATAAATCAATGAATATTTTATATTTATGTTCATGATAGTTGCACATGTATGGATGTTTATACAGTGGACTTCTTAAGTTTTATTTTTCTTGCTAAGCCTGGTTAAAATGCTATGTGATTTTTTATTCTTATTTGCTTATTTCACTTTGAGCACTGGGTATCAATTTGTACCCCAGTAATTGTTATATGGAAATCTGGTCATGAAAACAATTTCAAAGATTACACAATCTGTTCCTCGACAACATAACAATACTGATGAAATTGAAGAAACTATAACAATTTGTTCAAGAGGAGTGTTTGATAGAAGATGAATAAGCTGCAGATAATTTTCCACTATTATTATACAAGATAAATATGAATTCCTCATGAAGCTTGGAATCAAAAACTGCCTCTTCCATTGTCATAACAAGTGAGTCATGGATTCAATTTCTTCAATTTAAGTTTTTAGAAGTAGTACAGTATTTTTTCCAACCTGGAAAACTAACGTGTAAGAATGTGTGTATGTCATCTATGTGAATGGATATGTTTGTTCATGTTTTATTTTTGTTACTTATGTAGATCCTGGATATGTATGTTTTTCCTGGCTAAAATGGTTCTGCTTCACAAAAATTACTCCAAAATCCTTCCATCAATACATTTATATATATGTATGTATGTGTGTGGCTGGGTGGGAAGATGAAGATAAATAAGTTTTTGTTGTATTCATGGGTTCAGAAAAGGCATATGGTAGGGTGGATAGGGAAACAGTGTGGCAGATATTGCAAGTACAGTATATGGAATAGGTGGAAGGCTATTGAAAGTAGTTAAGAATTTTAATGAGGATAGTGAGGCTCAATGTTGGGTATGTAGGAGAGAGGGACATTATTTTCCAGTAAAATTAGGCCTTAGGTATGTGATGTCACCATGGTTGTTTAACATACTTATAGGTGGGGTTATATCTATATATATATGTGAGCGTGTTAAATAGGAGCGAATAGAGACGAATGGTATTTGGGACCTGACAAGCTGTTGGAGTGTGAGCAGAGTAATATTTAGTGAAGGATTCAGGGAAACTGATTATTTTTATATAGCCGGACTTGAGTCCTGGAAATGGGAAGCACAATGCCTGCATTTTAAAGGAGGGGTTTGGGATATTGGCAGTTTGGAGGGATATGTTGTGTATCTTTATACGTATATGCTTTTAAACTGTTGTATTCTGAGCACCTCTGCAAAAACAGTGATTATGTGTGAGTGAGGTGAAAATGTTGAATGATGATGAAAGTATTTTCTTTTTGGGGATTTTCTTTCTTTTTGGGTCACCCTGCCTCGGTGGGAGACAGCCGACTTGTTTAAAAAAAAAAAAGAGTGTGTATATGTTCATATGTGTGTATGTGTGTGTATATGTATGTAGTATGCCAGTTTTAAATACAAAAGTTTATTACAGTGTACATACAGTAGTAGTATAGATGAATAAAAGTGACGCTTTTGAGATATTCTCCTGGATTATAAAAGATAAATGTTCAGGCATATATGCAGATGCAAACCAATAGTTATCCTGTTACCAATAGAGTCATTAAATATTTTTTTGTTAATTGCCTGACTGAAGTTTTTTTGTAGCATTGCTGTTATATATGTATTAAAAAAAAATTTTATCTTCCACAGAAGAAATTATTATTTCAAAACGTTTGATGTATTCTGTTGCAAGATATTTGGCATTTCCCCATGGTTGTGGATTCTGGGGAATTGGATTATTTGGACAGGAAATTTTTACTTCAGTTACTCAATGGTAAATGCTTCATTCTTCTTTTTTTTCTATTTTTGCAGATTTAATTATATTTTTAGTATCTCCAGAAGTACTTGTATATAGATTTTTAATTGATTTTGTTAACATATATGTTTTTGACAGTACATTACTGGTTAGTAGATTGGTGTATACCTCATAAATCAGAAATTAGCACATAAGCTTGTTAGCAATCATGTTATAAATGGAATACAATACCGACTAGTTGATGAGTAAAATACATACAACACTAGGGATCTTTATTGACAGGGAAAAATTTCAATCTTATTGACAGTAGTCAAAGTGGAGACATAATTTGAGGTAATCAGTCCCTCAGCCTTAGTGGAAGATAATCAGTCTCAGGCTAAGAGACTGATTATTTTCTATCAGCACTGAGGAACTGATTCTCTACCTCATACTGCCTCTCCACTTCATCTGCTATCTTCAGGATTCCAGTTCATCCCTGTAGTTGACTGATAAAGCCTTCAGCACAGACAAAACATTTTATCAGTAAAGATAACTAGTGTTACACATGTGTTTTACTCATCCGTTACTTAGTGACAGTTTATTTTATACTTCAAATTTTAACTTCGCAAGCCATGAGTTGTAATAAGATTTGAACTTTTTTTTTAATATTACTTTTCTTAACTGTATACAGTACATGTACTGTATTTGCACTTGCAAGCCTGCATTTCTTAATTTTCTGTTGTAATTAATGTATTTACAAGCAAAACAAAGCTAAACTTGTAACTGTGATGAATGAACTCATTTTTATGTGAATACTGCATTCAGTTCGACTTAAAAGAATTTTTTTTGTAATTCAGTAAACTCTTGATTTAACAGACCTTGATTTAATGCATTTTAGAAATGCAAAACAAAATCCACTGTGTCAGTTAATCATGTAACCAACAGACAATATCTGTTGGTTACATGATTATCCGTTGTTGTTGCAGTCAGAATAAAACAATCTTAGCTTTATCCACCACATTCATCATTACCAGCTATCCACTCTCATTTCACTGTACTGTTACAGTACTCTTTAGTAATGTGATGAAACTGTATTATCCAGTTACTTTATCACACGATATACATGTCAGTGTCAACATACATTCTGAATATTTTTAATTTTTTACAGGATTCATTCATCAAACTTTGCTACTTCAAAGCAAGGGAATGTTGTAAATGTCTTTGATCGCCATACCAAGTTGCTGCAGAGAGAGAGAGCTGCCAGAAACCCAGATGTTGCTGTTTTTGATTATCTGAAGGAAGAGGTAGGCCTTTTTTTGGGGGGGAGTGTGTATAAATCTGTCATGGAGGGAAGGAGGGGTAGGAGTCATCCTTGGAAAGGACAAAGGGAGGGGGTAAAAGAGGTCTTGTGTGTAAGGGGCTTGGACATGCAGCAGGCATGTGTGAGCATGTTAGATAGTGAATGGAGACAAATGGTTTTTGGGACCTGATGAGCTGTTGGAGTGTGAACAGGTTAATATTTTGTGAAGGGATTCAGGGGAAATAGTTTGCCAAACTTAGAGTCCTGGAGGTGGAAAGTACAGTGCCTGTGCTTTAAAGGGAGGGTTTGGGATATTGGCTGTTTGGAGTGACATCTAAACTGACATATCTGGGCACCTCTGTAAAGACATTGATTATGTGTGAAGGATGGTGAAAGTTTTTCTTTTTTGGGTCACCCTGCCTTGGTGGGAGATGGCCAATGTGTTAAAAAAAAAAATTGTGAAATTTAAAAATAAATTGCTACAGTTAAAAGAATTTTTATTGCATATATTTAAGACAGTTATTGTAAACATAAAGGCAATCATATCCATTTAAATCTTTCAGGTTGGCTATCGATTGTCGGATCGAATTCTGGATATAAAACGTGAACTGAAGATTGGTCTTGATCTTGGGTGCGGTCGGGGCTATGCCACCAAACATATTACAGATGTAAATATTGATCATTTGATGTTTTTTTTATAATTGTATGTAATTTACCAATAAGTGATAATTTTTAATAATTTTTTGATGGATTTTGTTTTATATACAGTATATTTTGTGTATTAGAACAAATTTTTAGCGGTTACTTGGCAGCACACTTACTTTTGCAAGTTGCATTTTAGGTGGTGAATATGACTTATGTGGATTTCCCCCTGCATAGACCTAAGAACTAGCAAACCAATTTGAAGAAAGTTGAATGGTATAGATAGGAACAGGCATATCCATTGCCATTATAATGTAATGTCTGCAAAGAAAGTTGCAAAATCAGCAGATTATAAGATGTCACTGCTTCACTGAGACTAGGTTTTGCGGCTTATGACTCATTTTTTCTCCATAAAATGTCTCCAAAAACCACCCTGCATCCTATAAACTGAAGGTCAGTGACAGGGGCTATAAGTTTGGGGTGTGGAGTGGGCTGTAGCTCTCCCAGTTACGTCCAGTGCTGAGCCATTAGTGCACTCCAGGATGATTTGAATTTGGATGATTTGGTTTGAGAAGTGGCAGATGCAGTTTAATATAAACAAATGCAAAGTGCTAAATGTTGGACAAGACAGTAACCATGCCACTTATAAACTGAATAGTGTAGATCTGAATACAACTGACTGCGAAAAGGATTTAGGAGTTCTGGTTACCAGTAATCTGAAACCAAGACAACAGAGCATAAGTGTTCATAATAAAGCTAACAGAATCCTTGTCTTCATATCAAGAAGTATAAATAATAGAAGTCCTCAGGTTGTTCTTCAACTCTATATATCCTTGGTTAGGCCTCATTTAGATTATGCTGCACAGTTCTGGTCACCATCTTACAGAATGGATATAAATGCACTGGAAAATGTATAGAGGAGGATGACAAAGTTGATCCCATGTATCAGAAATCTTCCCTATGAGGATAGACTGAGGGCCCTGAATCTGCACTCTCTAGAAAGGTGTAGACTTAGGGGAGATATGATTGAGGTGTATAAATGGAAAACAGGAATAAATAAAGAGGATGTCAATAGCGTGCTGAAAATATCCAGCCAAGACAGGACTCGCAGCAATGGTTTCAAGTTGGAAAAGTTCAGATTCAGGAAGGACATAGGAAAGCACTGGTTTGGTAATAGAGTTGTGGATGAGTGGAACAAACTCCCGAGTACCATCGTAGAAGCTAAGACCTTGTGTAGCTTTAAAAATAGGTTGGATAAATACATAAGTGGGTGTGGGTGGGTGTGAGTTGGACCTGACTAGCTTGGGCTACTAGGTCAGATGCCATGGGTCAGTAGGCCTGTTGCAGTGTTCCTTCTTTCTTATGTTCTTAAATCAAGTCTTGTAAGCTGCAAAATATGGTAGCTATCCCCTTAAAGGCTAGTGAGGAGCTCTTGATCCAAGGAACTGATCTCAGGAATTGTGACATCACCTGCAAAGTCTTTATAGGATAAAATTTCATTGTTTCTTTTTAAATAGCAGTCTGGAAGTTTAATTGCATTACAGCTTCTCCTCACTTAGCAATGTACTCGTTTACTGATGACGCGGACTTGCAACGGGCTCTCTGACTAGTATGCATACCTAAATAATGTATATTAGAGCTGATTTACTCTATTCTGTTTATTACAATGTACAGTACACTACTGTATAAACATTTAAAAATATACTGAAAATGTTATAAATGATGCAGAGGTGACATTAAAACAATATCAAAGGTGGTTGACACAAACCCACTATTATAGTATGCTCCTTGCTTAGCGATGAATTCATTTATCGATGTGGTCTTAGGAATGGAACTGTCATTAAGTGAGGAGAAGCTGTACGTATTTGTATGCAAATTAAACCACATGGGGAATTCTTTGACAGATTTTTCACATGTTTTCATTTTTGAAGACATTTGAAATGTTAGATGTTTCTAAATAATTATTTAAAGACTGATAATTATTAGTGCCTGGCTAAAAAATTGTTTTAATGCCTTTTAATTTTGGTCCCTATCATATGGGGAAAATTGACATTGTAAATTTAGAAAGTTTTTTTTCTTGCAGGCTGAATTAAAACATCTCTATATGAGTGATTTTTCTCCATCCATGTTGGAATCAGCACAGACTCCAGAAAATATTGGATTTACCAAAATATTAATTGACGAAGAACAAAAATTTCCATTGGAATCTAAATTTTTAGATCTTGTTATTTCAAATCTCAAGTAAGTTAAACCATGATTGTTTTTTTGTTTTTTTTTCTCTCTCTCTCTCAACAAACCGGCCGTGTCCCACCAAGGAAGGGTGGCCCAAAAAGAAAAACGAAAGTTTTTCTTTTTAAATTTAGTAATTTGTACAAGAGAAGAGGTTACTAGCCCCTTGCTCCCGGTATTTTAGTCGCCTCTTACAACACGCATGGCTTATGGAGGAAGAATTCTGTTCCACTTCCCAATAGAGAGCCATGATTGTATGTCTGCAAAATGTTCATGTCTTAATTTTATAATTTAAACTTGTTCATTTATATTTTTATATTGTTACTCAGTAAGCTTAATACCTGCACAGTGTTAAAGTATTTTTGACAATTTAAAGTGAATACACTTGAAATTCTCATAATAATAATGGTTTTTGTGGCATTTATGGATTTGGAAAAGGCGTATGACAGGGTGGATAGGGGGGCAATGTGGCAGATGTTGCAGGTGTATGGTATAGGAGGTAGGTTACTGAAAGCAGTGAAGAGTTTTCACGAGGATAGTGAGGCTCAAGTTAGAGAATGTAGGAAAGAGGGAGATTATTTCCCAGTAAAAGTAGGCCTTAGACAAGGATGTGTGATGTAACCGTGGTTGTTTAATATATTTATAGATGGGGTTGTAAGAGTAAGTAAATGCGAGGGTCTTGGCAAGAGGCGTGGAGTTAAAAGATAAAGAATCACACATAAAGTGGGAGTTGTCACAGTTGCTCTTTGCTGATGACACTGTGCTCTTGGGAGATTCTGAAGAGAAGTTGCAGAGGTTGGTGGATGCATTTGGGAGGGTATGTAAAAGAAGAAAATTAAAAGTGAATACAGGAAAGAGTAAGGTTATGAGGATAACAAAAAGATTAGGTGATGAAAGATTGGATATCAGATTGGAGGGAGAGATATGGAGGAGGTGAATGTCAGATATTTGGGAGTGGACGTGTCAGTGGATGGATCCATGAAAGATGAGGTGAATCATAGAATTGATGAGGGGAAAGGGCGAGTGGTGCACTTAAGAGTCTGTGGAGACAGAGAGCTTTGTCCTTGGAGGCAAAGAGGGGAATGTATGAGAGTATAGTTTTACCAACGCTTTTATATGGGTGTGAAGCATGGGTGATGAATGTTGCAGCAAGGAGAAGGCTGGAGGCAGTGGAGATGTCATGTCTGAGAGCAATGTGTGGTGTGAATATATTGCAGAGAATTCGTAGTTTGGAAGTTAGGAGGAGGTGCGGGATTGCCAAAACTGTTGTCCAGAGGGCTGAGGAAGGGTTGTTGAGGTGGTTCGGACATGTAGAGAGAATGGAGCGAAACAGAATGACTTCAAGAGTGTATCAGTCTGTAGCAGAAGGAAGGCGGGGTAGGGGTCGGCCTAGGAAAGGTTGGAGGGAGGGGGTAAAGGTTTTGTGTGCGAGGGGCTTGGACTTCCAGCAGGCATGCGTGAGCATGTTTGATAGGAGTGAATGGAGACAAATGGTTTTTAATACTTGACGTGCTGTTGGAGTGTGAGCAAAGTAACATTTATGAAGGGGTTCAGGGAAACCGGTAGGCCGGACTTGAGTCCTGGAGATGGGAAGTACAGTGCCTGCACTCTGAAGGAGGGGTGTTAATGTTGCAGTTTAAAAACTGTAGTGTAAAACACCCTTCTGGCAAGAGAGTGATGGAGTGAATGATGGTGAAAGTTTTTCTTTTTCAGGCCACCCTGCCTTGGTGGGAATCGGCCAGTGTGTTAATAAAAAAAAAATAAAAAAAAAAAATTAAGATATCTAACAACATTTTAATGCAAGTAGACACTGATTCATTCCAACTGAAACTTGCATTTATAAATGTTGGTAATATTATCAACATTAGGTCCTGTAAAGTATGCATTATATTCTTAATCTTTTGTAACATATGTGTTAACCTCTTATAATACAGTACATTTGTCTCATCAATCTCAGGATGCTTTAGTAAAACAGCTGGATACTTTGAAGAAGGTGAATGCATATCTTCTCCATATATGTGGGTATCTTGTTGCCCCTTGGGTGGAGGGGTAACTGGGATAGAGCAAGTGTCTCACCTGCCCCATATAAGCATACCCATTCCAGTCCCTAATGGAACTTAGCACATACTGTATATATTTCTCCACTGTATTCTTCTAGGATAGTGTTTGCATTTTCATTGTTCAGTCTTATGCACATCACTCCTTTTAGTCATGTTATGTATCATCTTCTATATATGTATAAACAGTGATGAACCTATTTTGATTTTGTAAGTCATAGAAGGAGGTCCACTTAGCAGATTTTCTGAAGAATGCCTCAGAGCCTGAAATATACAGCTCTGTCTTCACTTTGTTCTTGTCACCGAAGTGGGGTGTCATTATTTATATTGACAAGTATTCATTAAATTAGCAACAGTTCATGTCATTTTTATTTTTATTAACACATCGGCCGATTCCCACCAAGGTAGGGTGGCCCGAAAAAGAAAAACTTTCATCATTCACTCCATCACTGTCTTGCCAGAGGGGTGCTTTACACTACAGTTACAAAACTGCAACATTAACACCCCTCCTTCAGAGTGTAGACACTGTACTTCCCATCTCCAGGACTCGAGTCCGGCTTGCCGGTTTCCTTGAATCCCTTCGTAAATGTTACTTTGCACACACTCCAACAGCATGTTAAGTATTAAAAACCATTTGTCTCCATTCACTCCTATCAAATACGCTCATGCACGCTTGCTGGAAGTCCAAGCCGCTCGCACACAAAACCTCCTTTACCCCCTCCCTCCAACCCTTCCTAGGCCAACCCTTACCCCGCCTTCCCTCCACTACAGATTTATACACTCTCGAAGTCATTCTGTTTTGTTCCATTCTCTGTACATGTCCAAACCACCTCAACAACCCCTCCTCAGCCCTCTTGATAATAGTTTTGGTAATCCCACACCTTCTCCTAATTTCCGAACTACGAATTCTCTGCATTATATTCACACCACGCATTGCCCTCAGACATGACATCTCCACTGCCTCCAGCCTTCTCCTTGTTGCAACATTCATCACCCATGCTTCACACCCATACAAGAGTGCTGGTACAACTATACTCTCATATATTCCCTTTTTTGCTTCCATGGACAAAGTTCTTTGTCTCCACACACTCCTAAGTGCACCACTCACCCTTTTCCCCTCATCAATTCTGTGATTCACCTCATCCTTCATAGTCCCATCTGCTGACACGTCCACTCCTAAATATATGAATACATTCACCTCCTCCATACTCTCTCTCTCTCCAATCTGATATCCAGTCTTTCATCACCTAATCTTTTTGTTATCCTCATAACCTTACTCTTTCCTATATTCACTTTTAATTTTCTTCTTTTACATACTCTATCAAATTCATCCACCAACCTCTGCAACTTCTCATCAGAATCTCCCAAAAGCACTGTGTCATCAGCAAAGAGCAACTGTGCCAACTCCCACTTTGTTTGATTCTTTATCTTTTAACTCCACACCTCTTGCCAAGACCCTAGCATTCACTTCTCTTACAGCCCCATCTGTAACTATATTGAACAACCACGGTGACATTTCATATTATGCTTAATTACACATTCAGAAAAGGGCTTCTGTTATATTGCTTTAGTCACTCGATTGTGTCTTAGTTATTTTACTTTATTTTTAAACTTGATTAGATTTTTTCCTCTCGACTCCCTGCCATCTCCCACCGAGGCAGGGTAACCTAAAAAGAGAAACTAAAATTTTACTCTTTACATGTAGTAATTTATAGAGAAGTTGTTACTAGCCCCTTGCTCCTGGCATTTTAATCACCACATATGACATACATGGCTTATGGAGGAAGGCTTCTTTTCCACTTCTCCATGAAGAACTTGCTTAGATCTTTTCTTTCTTCTTTCAACACACCAGCCACATCCCACTGAGGCAGGGTGGCCCAAAAAGAAAAATGAAAGTTTGCTTAGATTTTTTTTTTTTTTTTCAACAAGTTGGTCGTCTCCCACCGAGGCAGGGTGACCCAAAAAAGAAAGAAAATCCCCAAAAAGAAAATACTTTCATCATCATTCAACACTTTCACCACACTCACACATTATCACTGCTTTTGCAGAGGTGCTCAGAATACAACAGTTTAGAAGCATATACGTATAAAGATACACAACATATCCCTCCAAACTGCCAATATCCCAAACCCCTCCTTTAAAGTGCAGGCATTGTACTTCCCTTTTCCAGGACTCAAGTCCGACTATATGAAAATAACCGGTTTCCCTGAATCCCTTCACTAAATATTACCCTGCTCACACTCCAACAGATCGTCAGGTCCCAAGTATCACTCGTCTCCATTCACTCCTATCTAACACGCTCATGCACGCTTGCTGGAAGTCCAAGCCCCTCGCCCACAAAACCTCCTTTACCCCCTCTTTCCAACCCTTTCGAGGACGACCCCTACCCCTCTTTCCTTCCCCTATAGATTTATATGCTTTCCATGTCATTCTACTTTGATCCATTCTCTCTAAATGACCAAACCACCTCAACAACCCCTCTTCTGCCCTCTGACTAATGCTTTTATTAACTCCACACCTTCTCCTAATTTCCACACTCCGAATTTTCTGCATAATATTTACACCACACATTGCCCTTAGACAGGACATCTCCACTGCCTCCAACCATCTCCTCGCTGCTGCATTTACCACCCAAGCTTCACATCCACATAAGAGTGTTGGTACTACTATACTTTCATACATTCCCTTCTTTGCCTCCATAGATAACGTTTTTTGACTCCACATATACCTCAACGCACCACTCACCTTTTTTCCCTCATCAATTCTATGATTAACCTCATCCTTCATAAATCCATCCGCCGACACGTCAACTCCCAAGTAGTATCTGAAAACATTCACTTCTTCCATACTCCTCCTCCCCAATTTGATATCCAATTTTTCTTTATCTAAATCATTTGATACCCTCATCACCTTACTCTTTTCTATGTTCACTTTCAACTTTCTACCTTTACACACATTCTCAAACTCAACCACTAACCTTTGCAATTTTTCTTTAGAATCTCCCATAAGTACAGTATCATCAGCAAAAAGTAAGTGTGTCAATTCCCATTTTGAATTTGATTCCCCATAATTTAATCCCACCCCTCTCCCGAACACCCTAGCATTTACTTCTTTTACAACCCCATCTATAAATATATTAAACAACCATGGTGACATTACACATCCCTGTCTAAGACCTACTTTTACCGGGAAGTATTCTCCCTCTCTTCTACACACCCTAACCTGAGCCTCGCTATCCTCATAAAAGCTCTTTACAGCATTTAGTAACTTACACCTATTCCATAAACTTGCAACATCTGCCACATTGCTCCTCTATCCACTCTATCATATTGCTTAGATATATATAATAAATAAATTGAATTTGTAAAAAAAGCAGTACTGTATTAATTTTGAGCTTAGGGAAAATGAAAAAAATATTGTGGTACCAAAAGCACAAACATTTCTTTTCGAATTCTAGGTATTTCCTTTTCACTCTATTACAGCTTCTCGTCACTTAATGACGGGGTTCCGTTCCTAAGAATAGGTCAGTAAGCAATTTGGTCATTAGAAAGGAGCATACTGTACTGGTAGTGGGTTTGTATCAACCATCTTTAGATATTTCTTTTAATGTCACCTTTGTACCGTTTATAACATTTTTAGTATATTTTTAAATGTTTATACAGTAGTGTACTGTATACTGTAATTAACAGAATAGAGGGGGATTAACTGTAATATACATTACATGGGTTTGCAAACCAGTTGGAGAGCTGGTCGTAAGCCTAAGTTGTCGGTAAACGAGTATGTCTCTAAGTGAGGAGAGGTTGTATTCTGATATCTTGATCCACTACGTAACCTTTTGTTCAATTTTTTTGAAAGATTATCCAACATAATCATTCTCTTCACAGCCTTCACTGGGTGAATAATCTACCTGGATGTCTAAAGGAAATCTATAGAGTGTTGAAAGAGGATGGAGTATTTTTAGCTTCAATGTTTGGAGGAGAGACATTATATGAACTTCGTTCATCGTTGGTGCTAGCGGAATTAGAAAGGGAAGGGGTAAGTTCACTGATTTTTGTAGTCAAGAATTTAATAAATGAATGGAAGAGGGTAAGGTACCTAGGGATTGGCAGAGAGCATGCATAGTTCCTTTGTATAAAGGCAAAGGGGACAAAAGAGAGTGCAAAAATTATAGAGGATTAAGTCTGTCGAGTATACCTGGTGAAGTGTATGGTAGAGTTATTATTGAAAGAATTAAGAGTAAGACGGAGAGTAGGAGCAGATGAACAAGGAGGTTTTAGGAAAGGTAGGGGGTGTGTAAACTAAGTATTTACAGTGAAACATATAGGTGAACAGTATTTAGATAAGAGTAAAGAGGTTTTTGTGGCATTTATGGATTTAGAAAAGGCATATGACAGGGTGGATAGGGGGGCAATGTGGCAGATGTTGCAGGTGTATGGTATAGGAGATAGGTTACTGAAAGCATTGAAGAGTTTTTACGAGGATAGTGAGGCTCAGGTTAGGGTATGTAGGAGAGAGGGAGATTATTTCCCAGTAAAAGTAGGCCTTTGACAAGGATGTGTGATGTCACCATGGTTGTTCAATATATTTATTGATGGGGTTGTAAGAGAAGTGAATGCTAGGGTTTTGGCAAGAGATGTGGAGTTAAAAGATAAAGAATCAAACACAAAGTGGTAGTTGTCACAGTTGCTTTCTGTTGATGACACTGTGTTTTTTTTTGAGATTATAAAGAGAAGTTGCAGAGGATTACCAAAACTATTATCCAGAGGGCTGAGGAGGGGTTGTTGAGGTGGTTTGGACATGTACAGAGAATGGAACAAAACAGAATGACTTCGAGAGTGTATAAATCTGTAGTGGAGGGAAGGCGGGGTAGGGGTCGGCCTAGGAAGGGTTGGAGGGAGGGTGTAAAGGAGGTTTTGTGTGTGAGGGGCTTGGACTTCCAGCAAGCATGTATGAGTATATTTGATAGGAGTGAATGGAGACAAATGGTTTTTAATACTTGACATGCTGTTGGAGTGTGAGCAAAGTAACATTTATGAAGGGATTCAGGGAAACCAGCAGGCCGGACTTGAGTCCTGGAGATGGGAAGTACAGTGTCTACACTCTGAAGGAGGGGTGTTAATGTTGCAGTATTGTAACTGTAATGTAAAGCACCCCTCTGGCAAGACAGTGATGGAGTGAATGATGATGAAAGTTTTTCTTTTTTGGGCCACCCTACCTTGGTGGGAATCAGCCGATGTGTTAATAATATATTAATAAAAAAAAAAGAATTGATGAAAGTAAAGACACATGTGCAACATCTGGTTATCTTTATTGTAGATGTTTTGCCATTCAGTGGCTTTATCAATACAGATTCTAGGACATAATTAGAAGACAGTAGAACTATATACAAAAGATGAGATAATCAGTCCCTCAGCCTTGGAGCTGGTGTTGTGAGCACCATGGTGCTCACAACACTAACTCCAAGGCTGAGGGACTGATTACCTCATCTTTTGTATATAGTTCTACTGTCTTCTAATTATGTCCTAGAATCTGTATTGATAAAGCCACTGGATGGCAAAACATCTACAATAAAGATAACCAGATGTTGCATGTGTCTTTACTTTCATCTTGTCGGTATTTTATACTTTTCTTGCACAACTAGTCAAGAATTGTTTATAGTGTAATGCATATTTAGAGCTGTGCCTTACTTTTAAATATGTAGTATGGCATTTTTGTCTTTCAGCATTATTAGTTCATAAATTGATTCATGGCATACCTATGACTGGCTATGAAGCCTGGCCTGAGACCAGACTATTGTTAGCTGCCTGGTTAATGAAAGTATTGCTGCCACTGGCACTGATCTACATAACACATCGCAACTTGTCTGATCTGCCATTTGTCTAGTTTCCTCTTGAAAATCTCCTATCTTGATTTAGATAGTAGTTCCTAGATCTCTAATTATGCCTGTGACACCCCTGTGCACATATATGAGTGAAGAATGATATCAGTGATAATGCACCAATTATTTTGTAATAAATGCAAAACTATGGAATTAGTCAAAGACTTAAGTAATCAGAATTTGTGCTTTTTAGTTTCATAAGTTTAATAACTGTGCTTCACCAGAAAGGATATAAGTATTATTTTTTTCTACTTTTGAATATAAATTTCTTGGTATTAGTAAATTGTTCTACACCAGTTAAAATTTCAGGATGTAAAAGCTCATTTTGTGGTTAATTCTGGATATAATTGAATTATTTTTTTAATTTTTATAACAGTTGATCAGTTGTCACTGTTCAGGTACTACAATATTTTGTTTATTTACCTTCCAGGGTTTTTCACCCCATATATCTCCATTTACTGAGATTCGCGATATTGGAGGTCTTCTAAATCAGTGTGGCTTCACCATGCTTACCATTGTAAGAATATTTTAATGTTTTTAATACTAAACACTTTTTTAACATTTTATTCATTTCATATTTTTAAAAACCTGCTTTTATATCAAGTTTGTGCATCAGAACAAAATCTTGTACCTTTACTATACAAAATGCTAAAAGCAGTGGATTTTTAAATCAAGTAAAAATTAATTTAGATATGTTCTACTACCTGATACTCCTTTGAAACTTATTAACTGAATTTTATAGTCAAATTATTAAACAAAATTTATTTATACTTTATTTATCCTTGGATTAATACCTACATTAAGTGTTTCTGACATATACATAAAAACTTATCAAAACATATCCCTTCATTCATTAACTTTAGAGAAAAATTTAAGACAGCCAAGCATAAAGCTTATTCAGTTTTAACTTGGCTTGATGTACTTGATCTCGTACTGTTTGTAATGATCCTTAAATGTAAAATATGTTGATTCTCAGAGTATGAGATGAGGTTTCCTGCTGTCATATAATTTCTCACATCATTGCTGTCTGGTTTTTCTGTACAAGTTTGTCTGATTTTGGGAATAATATGGTGGATAATGAATGCACCTAAAAAGTGAGGTCAAGTAGGTGGGTTATTTTCACATGGAAACACTAAAACTATAGGGATCATACAGTGCTTGGGAAATGGGAGGTAATCAGGCTTGATCAAAGAAAGGGGTGGGTAGCTTCAGTTCCCTAGCTCAAAAGAGTCCTTCAGCATCAAGGCACTCCCTTTGAAGGGTCTTGATTCAGAGATCTCTCCTAAACAGAGAGGCCTTAATGCCAGTGAGGAAGCTATTGATGCAATGAAGTGAAACTGTTCTCCCATTCCTTGGGTAAAACTTTATTGTCTCCATTCCCTACGTGGTGTGCAACCCCTACAGGTTTAGTAATAATTATTGGAGATCTCTTCAGTTAGATTTTTTCCAAATAGACTGTAGGTTTTTTACTACATTCAGCGAGACTTTCATGGTGGACATCCACGTGTGATTAAGGTCATGGATAGAGGAAATGAAAGTCTAAACAGCAAAAAATGTTGGATGATATTAGGGCACCATTTATGCATATAAGAGCTGGAGAAGAAATTCAACCCTTACTGTAAGAGTTATGTTAAATATCCAGCTTTTTTTATCATTTAATAAGTTTTGTACAAGCAACAAATTTTAGAAAGCATTATTAATTTTAGATGATTTCAGGATGTTGATGAAATCATAGTGGGCTACCCATCATTATTTGAACTTATGTGGGACCTGCAAGGAATGGCAGAAAATAATGCTGGTGTAAGCCGGAAACCTCACCTGCATCGTGACACACTGTTGGCAGCAAGTGCCATTTATCAAGGTAAATACTGTACTGATTTATTGCAAGAACATTTCATAGAAAATCTTCAAACCAAAACCAATTTACAGTCTTATACCTGGGGAAAGGGAGGGTAACTTGAATTCCTTGACACAGGATGGGTTCTTCCACACCATTGAATGATTTTCCATCATTACATTAGTGGAGAAGTGTTAAACTGATAATGGTTATACAGTGCTTGGGGGAATGGGAGGTAATCATAATCAGATCTGAGCCTTGGATCAAGAGCCCATCACCAGCATGCCTACATTGAAGAGGATTTTGCTTACAGTTGTGGTAGTAACATGATTGTGTCCATAGTCTAAAATTTTTAATAAGTTTGTTTACACCCAGGTCCCTTGTAGTTGTTGTCCACTATTAGAAGTGGTTTGACTGCATTTTGTGCCCTGCTCCAGTTTTTATCTTGTAGATTTTTCCAGAGAGGAGAAGCTAAAATTTGTTGTTACATGTAATGTTTCTTTTGTCCCAGTGGAAGACTTGGTTTACTTCAGCTTGCAGGTTTTATGTGCTTTCAGTGTATGCCACTTACATAATATTAATTATTTGCAAATGTTGATATGTTGATATAGTGATATGATTTGTGTATGTCAGATATGAGAATTAAGATCATTCAGGTGAGTACTGTGACTTGAGAAACAGAGCTTTTTGCTGTAGAACACACACTGCTAAAGTGAGATCTGCTAATTGTTTTAGTAGAACCCATGACTTTTTATTTTTAGCTCATTTCATGTGTTTATTCATTCTGCATCCTACGTAGTATCTATAGGTTTTAAAAAACCATTAACACTTTCATTGCCCAAAGCCCTGAAATTAAAAGTGCTCAGTGTACACATTTAAAAAAAAAAAAAAAATATGGGAAATTGCAGAATTACACAGGAAATGTTAGTCTAAGTGCAATTTACACATTAGTGATTTTGCCCACTTTAAGTCCTATTTCAAGCCAATTCCATTATTCAGTTCAACTAAATTCTTAGCTATTTTGCTACTATACTTTTTGTTTTAATAGTTGAGCACAAGAAAACTCCCATTTAACTATCAAAACCACCCTATAAAGTACACAAGTCGGTAATTTGGCCAGTTTTACAAAAAAAAAAAAAATCCAAAATGAACACTGTAGATATTCTAGGCACTAAAACAGTCTTTTCTGTTCATTAATCACTTTCCCAGGTACCTCCATTTTTTAATTCATCACACAAAAAAACCCTGAAAGTTTACCCTATTTCTAGGTTAACAAAATATAACCAGGAATAATTGGTCATGGTTTAGCATCCCAGTAATTGAATCAGACCTAGTATAAACCAATAATACAGATGGGGTGGGGGCTTACCTGTCCTCGGGAAAATTGGCAAAAATCTAACATTTCCACTACTTTGAGGCCGATTTCAAGCTACTTCCAGTCCTGGAACCAACCAAAATAATTTATTTCAGTAGTATGCCTTCCACTATCAAATAACAACCAATAAAATAAAAGCCATTCTAGACAACACTTCAGTATTGCTATTTTAAATCAAACACAAGGTCAGAGTTTTGCTTTTCTCATTATGTACTGCATGGGGAAGGATTTATTTTACATTGTGTACACTCGCTGCACAGACCCATCTTTTCATATCTAGGCCAAAATTTACCACTCTTAGCTTATCTGAGTGAGCTGAGCTCAAGACATAGATCTGTGTGCTGGACAATGAAAGGGTTAATACTATATAGTTTATACCAGTAGGACACACACATGGCTTCAGTACTTGTGCACCAAATCAAATTCATTCTGTACATGAAAAATTGTGACTGGACATTTTGGAGTTGTTTACATTTTATGTGCTATTACACTCACCAAAAACTATCATCATTTGGATTTAACTAGATATATTTGTAGGTTCTGTACTTTTGAAGGTACCTTAAGCTTTATATTGGCATATATCATTACATCCTCAGGGTAGCCTTAAACAGGGTTTTAAAGTTAAGAGAAAATCTAATTTACAGGAAGGAACATATTAGACACTGAAGGGTACTTGAGTTGATCAATACAGAGAACACTGCTTTTGAAGAAAATTATGCAATGCTATACTTTTTTGATAAGTTAATTATTCTCGTGTACACTACTGTAGTGTAGTGGGAAGGGCATCATTGGCATTTTAAGAATAAACATGTATGTGATTTGTCCTTTTTTTTTTTTTTTAAATTTGGCCAATTGGTTTTGCTTTTGTATCTCTTGGACTTGATATGATGCTTCAACAGAGAATCACATTAAGTTCAGGAGACAGCAGAACCAATTGGCTGAATTGAAAGAAACCAGACAGACACAACTCATGTAAGTGCATACCTTTAAGATGCTGATGATGCTGTTCTCACTATAAGTTATATGGGAAGAAAAATGAACTTTGCAATAAAGTACAGTCCAGTAGAACCTCGGCACTCAGACTTAATTGGTTCCAGAAGGTTGTTTGAGTACAGAACGAATTTTTCCCAACCAATTTTCTTTTTGGTTGGCTTTTATAACTAACCCTCTTAGGCCCCATGGTGACTTATTTATACAAATAATAAATACGAAGAAACAGTAAATTTACAGCGAAGTTCTGGCAGGTCATGTTTGGTAGACTACTGAGCAATTTGTTCATGTACTGAGGTTCCACTGTACTGTACAATTGTAGTTTTAATAATATGAGGTGCTGGAGGAAGATGGAAGGCATTCAAGGAATTGGATGTCAGGTCCAATTCCTTAAATCAAGAGCCCCTGTAGTAGAGCCCTATACAATTTTATGAACTTCACACAAGTGCCCTTTAGTCTGATATGTGATATACTTTCATTGTTTAAGTGATGTTTAAAAATTAGTTTTGAATGGTACATACTATATTACACTTGTGAACTAAACATTTTATTTTCAGAGATGTATGGAAAAAATGAAGGGATTCCAGCTACATTCCAGATTATTTACATGATTGGCTGGAAACCTGACCCAAAGCAGGTAATTTTTTTTCTATTGAAAAAATTACAAAATCATCACAAGTTTTGTTGAAGGGCATGAAAATGAAGAGATACATATGCCCTTCGATTAACTATTTGACCTGCATAGAATATGTACTTCATTTGCATGTTAAGGATAGATAATACTACAGCAGTAGCAGTATCTTTGGAACTATTTACTCATATTTTTCTCATTTCCAGAAAGTACATCAAGCAGAGCGAGGCAGTGGTCAAATCTCTCTTAAAGATCTGGACAAGCTTGATGAAATGGTTCGTAAAGCTGGTATGGAAGGGAGGATCAAATTTATGAAGGATGAAATGGAAGACTTGGGTAAAGATAAATAAGACTAGATCTGTGATTATAGTTGGATTAGACATAGTATATTCTATCAAAATTCTCAATACTGGTGGATTTTAGAAAGCAGTTTTAATTCTTGCTAAGGATGTGACAAATTTAATATCAGTATTGAAATGTTTTTATACATTTTCACTAGTATAAAAGCAAGTGTAAAGTTATGAATTGTCAAGCTAATTTTTTTAAAATTTTGATTATCATCAGGATATGGTACTGTATTTTATTTTCATTGATTGGGCTATTACCTGTAATACAGTAGGACCTTTTATCCAGAAATTTATTTGTTAAAATTTCCCCTACCTACCCGATTTACTTAAAATGCACTTATCGTCCAAATGTGCACACTAGCCACTACAGTAGCCCTTAATGTACCATCAAACTTATTAGCCATATAAGACAGTCTTGCTTCCATAAATGACATAGCATAAACCAGGTTTTTTTTTTTCATTATTGCATTCATGGGGGAAGTGCTAAATCTGTTGGAGTCAATTAGATTTGATCCAAGGAAAGGGAGGGTAGTTCCAATTCTTTGGATGATGAACCTTTCACTAACACCGAGGTACCTTCCTTGATTTTATTTTTAATCCAAGTTTCATTATTAATTTTCTATTTAAGCTGTTGCATGAATGGGAAATTCACTAATTCAGATTGATTTTTTTTTTAACCAAAATACTGTGTAGCATAACCTGCAAAGCTGCAACAAGAAGTTTTAGTTTTGTACAGTACCTGTAATACTATCCTATGCTATACCTGCATCTTCAGACAGCGATGGCCGCAAGGCCAATTAAAAGGCTCAATTACAATGTATTTACACAAAGCCACATTTCCTAGAAATAAACTTACCTATGTACCAAAATACTATTATTATTATTATTCTTATATTTAAAAACAAGCGCTAAACCCCCAAAAAGTTTAAGCACAATGTCAAAGCTTTGTCTTGTGCCTGCCTAACTCAACTTGTTATTGTTGATTGCTGAAAATAGTACCTTGTAATGAACATCACATTGGTACTGTTTTTAAAAGGCATATGTTATAAAAGCTTGCAACTTCCTTGTATGTAGTTTTGGTAATTGTATATTTTTGTTGCATAGTTATTTTGTATTGAAATATAAAAAATAATATTGTTCAAATGGAATCTTTAATTCATTCCTTCATTTCAAATACAAATTGGATGTATCCAACTTACCACCTAGATACAGTATATACAATAAACGGGCTTGTGCTGTACAAAACCTTAACGTTATCATAACTGGAGAAGCACTAAACCTGTAGGGATCATACAATAATATAATAAATTTAAGCACTGAACCCATAAGGATCATGCAACACAGCAGGGGTCGTACAACACATGGGGGAATGAGAAGCAACCTTGATACCAGCAAGAGCCACTTGCTGGTATCAAGGTGGCTTTCTTAGGAGTTGCCTAAATAGAATGCTTTTTCATTAACAAACCACTTCCTACGAAGTATTACATTATTATAATAAAAAAGAATCGCTAAACCTACAAAGTAGTGCAGCAATCCACATTTTTACCTAAGCAAAATTTCAAAATGAGTTTTATTTTCCTGGCTTAGAAATCATGACTAAAGATGAACCGAGAACAAATATACAACATTACTCATTTATATTACTGAATGACAAAAGTTTAACAATTATATTCAGAACAGAAGAGTTCATTACATTAGCAAGAAAGTGCTAAATCTGTGTGGAACATACAGTGCATTATTAATGAATAAAGACAGAGCTTAAAAGGGCCATTACTAGTACCAAGAAAAATATTAGGAACTGGTAAATAATGAAGATAACTAAAGGCCTAAATGCAGGCAAAACAAGGTAACAATACAGATGATTGCATACCATTCCATTATTATTATTATAATCATGTTTAGCGCTAAACCTGAAAGGGTCATATAGCTCTACTACCGTTCTATCAAAAAGTATTACTCCACTGATAATTTAAAGTCAGTAACAAAATTAGAGCAAGTTAAAATACAGCCTCTCCTCACTTAGCAACGTACTCGTTTACCAATGCCTCGGACTTACGACAGGCTCTCTGACCAGTATTTATTCCTAAATAATGTATATTAGAGCTGATTTTATCTATTCTGTTTATTTCAATATACAGTACACTACTGTATAAACATTTAAAAATATACCAGAAATGTTACAAATGGTAGAAAGGTGACATTAAAACATCAAAGATGGTTGACACAAACCCACTACCATTATAGTATGCTCCTCACTTAGCGACGAATTCGTTTAACAACATGGTCTTAGGAATGGAACTCCATCATTAAGTGAGGAGAGGCTGTATTTAAAAAGATTGACACAAAAAATTGTTTACCCACATAAGTTTTCTGCTTTCCAAGAATATAATTAAAATGGTAATTGTATAATAATAATTGAAAAGATAATTACAAGTTAAAATTATATAATAAACTAACTATAAACACTGTAATTATAATTATAAATGAACCTATAGCATGTTAGATAGGGGTGAATGGAGACGAACAGTTTTTGGAACCTGACAAGCTGTTGGAGTGTGAAGGGATTCAGGGAAACCAGTTGGCTGGACTTAGAGTCCTGGAAATTCCTGCACTTTAAAGGAGGGATTTGGGATACTGGCAGTTTGGAGGGACATCTAAACTGTCATATCTGAGTGCCTCTGCAAAGACTGTGATTATGTATGAGTGATGGTGAAAGTGTTGAATGATTTTTTTTTTTTTGGGGGGGGGGGGTCCCCCCTGCCTCGGTGGGAAATGCTATGCATACATTTTTTCTCAGGCCAGAGGAAGCTCAAGCCTATGAACCTTGAGACATGGTATGCACTACAGTACTAGCTAAATCAAGCCAGACCACATAACTGGTGCCCTGCTAACTAGGGGTATACTAAAGAGCCAGTAGCAGTGGGCTGGTGATTAGTTTTTTTTTTATCTCTTACATGATGTACTGCTACTGCTGCTTTTCACAATTCCTACACTCTACTGTTCTATCACTACTACCAACACTACTACTTCATTACTGCTACCATTGCTATTAATTCTACAACCAGCACCACCACTAACTACTACTACTACCACCACTACTACTACCACCATTACCAATACTCCCACCACTTCCTTCTTTCCCTGCTTTTTTCCTGCAGTGTCATCTGACTAAATTGCAAATAAACCTCTCATGTGCTAACTTTTTCTCCTTTTCCACCCTCTTTACCTTATCATTCCACCAAATGCTTCCTTTTTTGTAGTCACTCAACCTCCTATACTCACAAACTTCTACTGCACACTAACATTTTATTCTTAAATCTACCCTATATCTCTTCAACACTCCTCATTATCTGTACTCTGTCTAGTCCACCTTCTTCCTGATAGCTGCTCATATCCTACCCTATCTCCCTTCTAATTTATTAACTTACACCTCATTCTTACTCACTGATGACATTTTTCCTTGTACTTTATCTTCTACTTAGTCTCACTGTAGCTACCAGTAAATAACATTCTGATATACAGTATTTGTCGCTCCTCTAAAAACAGGCACAACCCAAAGTCTACCTATCATCTACTTCTACGAAGTCTAATAAACAGCTGTCATTATGCCCTATATTATATCTCATATACTTATTTAACCCTAGGTAGTAGGTTGGTAGACAGCAACCGCCCAGGGAGGTACTACCATCCTGCCAAGTGAGTGTAAAACGAAAGCCTGTAATTGTTTTACATGATGGTAGGATTGCTGGTATCCTTTTTTCTGTCTCATGATCATGCAAGATTTCAGGTACGTCTTGCTACTTCTACTTACACTTAGGTCACACTACACATACATATACAAGCAAACATATACACACCCCTCTGGGTTTTCTACTATTTTCTTTCTATTTCTTATTCTTGTTTATTTCCTCTTATCTCCATGGGGAAGTGGAACAGAATTCTTCCTCCGTAGGCCATGCGTGTCATAAGAGGCAACTAAAATGCCGGGAGCAAGGGGCTAGTAACCTCTTCTCCTGTATATATTACTAAATGTAAAAGGAGAAACTTTTGTTTTTCCTTTTGGGCCACCCTGCCTCGGTGGGATACGGCCGGTGTGTTGAAAGAAAAGAAGAAGACTTATTTAACTTCTTCTTCTTAAAATACCTATTACCAAACCTTTATTTATATAGTAATTAAATTAGAGGCCTCCATTACAATAGTTTTAGTTCACAGTTAAACACATCTCTAATTTTGGGATGCTGAATCCAAACTTGAAATTAGTTTTTCTCCAACGCATACAGTTTCAGTCAGCTACAACCCCACACTGAGCGATTTCACCACGATATAGCCACCAAGAAGAGATATCAAAAAACTTGAAAATAAATGTAATGGTTAGCTACTGCTGGGCATTGGTGTGGGAGAGCAATACTAAACACAAGTGAAAAATCATGTAAATAGTGATATATATGTTTGTAAGACTGTATGGAAGTTAATTATTGTTATGCAAATAGGCACATATGAATTTACATTAAGAAGGATTAGTTTCTGCCACTGTATGCACCACACTTAACATCTATGCATAATATAATACCTATGGCTGTTAGGTAACATATATTATGTGATCTCTCAGCATTAAATAGCCAAAATATTAATGATGACATTTCACAAGAATCTTACATGATAGAGCCTAAAACAAGCTCAGATTTGTGATCAGTGTATCAAAATTACCTTGAAACAACTAAATTGGTTTCTGAACTGGATAATAGGCTAAATTTTGCTGGCAAGTGTTATCATTTACCCCTGGCTCTTAAAACTTACCTACTATATCTGGAGGGTGTTCCGGGGGTCAATTCCCCAGTGCCCGGTCTATGATCAGGCCTTGTGATGGATCAGGGCCTGATCAATCAGGCTGTTACTGCAGGCTGCACATAATCCACTAAACCATAGCAAGTTTCTCCAATAACAATTATTTTCTCACTTGCTTCAAAACTACCTAAACAGTCACCTCACAAAAATCTCTCCCTCCTTAACACATTTCTACTCCCCAGGTGCATAAAGCTATCATTCTTCTTCAACAAACTGGCTAAATCCCACTGAGGCAGGGTGGCCCAAAAAGAAAAACAAAAGTTTCTCTTTTTAATTCTAGTAATGTATACAGGAGAAGGGGTTACTAGTCCCTTGCTCCCGGCATTTTAGTCGCCTCTTACGACACTCATGGCTTACGGAGGAAGAATTCTGCTCCATTTCCCCATGGAAATAAGAAGAAATAAACAAGAACAAGAACTAGTAAAAAAATAAAAGAAAACCCAGAGGGGTGTGTGTGTATATATATACTTGTACATGCAAGTGTAGTGTGACCTAAGTGTAAGTAGAAGTAGCAAGATATACCTGAAATCTTGCATGTTTATGAGACAGGAAAAAGACACCAGCAATCCTACCATCATGTAAAACAAGTACAGGCTTTCATTTTACACTTGGCAGGACGGTAGTACCTCCAAGGTTGGTTGCTGTCTACCATCCTACTACCTACTAAAGTTATCATTATTATTTGCATTATTTAATGGCCTCTACACTTCAGAGCATGAAATGAATAACAAAAATACCTGATAACTGAAGTAAGAAAACCCTTCAATGGAGTGTCTAGTTGTTGGTAAAGGGATCTTGATTCAAAGAAACAGAACTATTATCTCCTTCCTCACATCAAACCTCAGTACTTCCTATTCCCCAAGCAGTTGATGACCCCTGCAAGTTTAGCACTTCCCTATTCATATAATAATGAGACTAGAAAGTCTGAACACACCATAGACTTACTCACTTTAAGTTATCATTGTGTAGCATTTTTCAACTCTAAATACATTTAAAATTGCACACTCTTGGAATTATTAGACAAAAAATTGTTGTGCAGTATGCAAGTAAAATAACAGAAACATTTATAACAGAGATGTAAAGACAAACTGGTAACCAATGACATCAACTTTTGGTAATAAAATTTACTTGGGTTTAAATATGACTGCAAAATTCTGAGGATCAAAATGCAAGTTAGATTGGAAAAAATCACACTTCCAATGCAATTGTGTCTATATCGGCATGGCATGTAAGCTGCATGAACATTTAATGGTATATAAACTGCTATCTATACTAACATAATTGCTGAAGAATAAAAAACAAAAATGTCAATTTTTTAAATATCCTTATGACAAAAAAGTATTCAAAAACCAGAGTTCATTGTTATTAAAATAAAATCATCATTCACTCCATTCATTCACATGATCAAATTACTCTTAATAAGCAATAAGTTCATAACAACTAGTGAATTATGGGCTCTAAGCAATAAACACTAATAAAATGTGTTGTCAATGGAGAAAAAGATCCTGAGACACATACCAATTACAGTACTGTATTTGGTATATTTTTGTACACATGATGACCTTATTACTTCCCTGATCACAACTGGTATAAAGCATTGTGGTTCAATAGCACAAAAGTGAATTGTCTAGTCTGGAATATTCATATGGTCTTTTGCTAGACAGACACTTGGTCTAAATTCAATCATTTCAAAATACTGCATAAGATCTATCTAAACAAGTGCAAACTAAGTTTCATTAGGTTTTTCAATGAATCCCCCAACTAGCTACAGAAAAATTATTTAAATCCCCTGGTGACACAGCAGACTTGGAAGTTTGATCTCATCAGAGTTTATCCTCTTGAGGAGTAGTCAATGGGTACGTAATATTCTGCATTTGAATAAAATAATGTACAATATAATACAATCTTACTTCATTATGTAATGCACATGTAATCTGTACATACAGGTATTCCTTGCTTCATGCAGGCTCGCTTTATAAAAATTTGCTGTTAGAAGAACATAAGAAAGAAGGAACACTGCAACAGGCCTACTGGCCCATGTGAGGCAGACCCAATTCTCCCACTGGCCCAAGCCAACATCCTAACCCAGTCAGGTCAGGTCACACATACTTAAGGAAGGAGCACGGCATCTGACCTAGTAGCACAAGCTAGTCAGGTCCAACTCACACCCACCTACACCCACTTATGTATTTATTTAACCTATTTTTTTTTAAAACTACACAATGTCTTAGCTTCTATGATGATACTCTGGAGTTTGTTCCACTCATCCACAACTCTATTACCAAACCAGTGCTTTCCTATATCCTTCCTTAATCTGAACTTTTCCAATTTAAAGCCATTGCTGCGAGTCCTGTCTAGGCTAGATGTTTTTAGCATGCTATTTACATCCCCTTTATTTATTCCAGGTTTCCATTTATACACCTTAATCATATCCCCCGCTGGTGTCTTTTTTCTGTCTCATAAACATGCAAGATTTCAGGTACGTCTTGCTACTTCTTCTTACACTTAGGTCACACTACACATACATGTACAAGCATATATATATATATACACACACACACACCCTTCTGGGTTTTCTTCTATTTTCTTACTAGTTCTTGTTCTCGTGTATTTCCCGTTATCTTCATGGGGAAGTGGATCAGAATTCTTCCTCCGTAAGCCATGCATGTTGTAAGAGGAGACTAAAATGCCAGGAGAAAGGGGCTAGTAACCCCTTCTCCTGTATATATTACTAAATGTAAAAGGAGAAACTTTCATTTTTCCTTTTGGGCCACCCCACCTCGGTGGGATACAGCCGGTGTGTTAAAAGAAAAAAGAAGAATCATATCCCCCCTAATTCTATGCCTTTCTAGAGAGTGCAGATTCAGGGCCCTCAGTCCATCCTAATAGGGAAGATTTCTGATACATTGGATCAACTTTGTCATACTCCTTTGTACGTTTTCCAGTGCATTTATATCCATTCTGTAATATGGTGACCAGAACTGTGCAGCATAATCTAAATGAGGCCTAACCAAAGACATACAAAAACAAATATTTATTTCTTTGTAAAGCTTACAATGTGTGGTTTACATGTTCTAAGATTTAAATTACAAAGATGACCACTATCGTGCCTAGGCACTTTGGGCAGACTGATACTAATTCTTACAACATTTTGATATAGGTCATACTTGAGCAGTACATTTGAACGTATTATTAGGTACTTAATTAGGAACATTCTCAGTTAGGTACATACAGCACCTGTTTGGAACCCACACTTGATCAAGCACGTCAAGAAATTAGAGAAAGTGCAAAGGTTTGCGATAAGGTTAGTTCCAGAGCTAAGGGGAATGTCCTATGAAGAAAGGTTAAGGGAAATTGGCCTGATGACACTGAAGGACAGGAGGGTTAGGGGAGACATGATAACGACATACAAAATACTGCGTGGAATAGACAAGGTAGACAGAGACAGGATGTTCCAGAGAGGGGACATAGAAACAAGGGGTCACAATTGGAAGCTGAAGACCCAGATGAGTCAGATGTTAGGAAGTAGTATTTCTTCAGTCAAAGAGTAGTCAGGAAGTGGAATAGCCTAGCAAGTGAGGTAGTGGAGGCAGAAACCATACATAGCTTTAAGATGAGGCATGATAAAGCTCATGGAGCAGGGAGAGAGAGGACCTAGTATTATTATTATAATCAAAAAGAAGCGCTAAGCCACAAGGACTATACAGCAGAGGACCTAGTAGCACTCAGTGAAGAGGTGGGGCCAGGAGCAGAGTCTCGACCCCTGCAACCACAATTAGGCAAGTACATAATTAGGTTTAAAATAGTTAGGTAGTCAAATCATTTAATATTAGTACAAATGGCAAATTTAGTAATGGGAATCGATTTATCTTGGCATGATACATTGTTTCTATATATATAGAGTTGAACAACAACCTGAGGACTTCTATTATTTATACTTCTTGATATGAAGCCAAGGATTCTGTTAGCTTCATTGCAAACACTTATGCACTGTTGTCTTGGTTTCAGATTACTGCTAACCAGAACTCCTAAATCCTTTTCGCAATCAGTAATATTAAGATTTACATTAATTAGTTTACAAGTAAAATGACATGGAGAGCTTATAAATCTGTATGGGAAAGAAGGCAGGGTAAGGGTCGTCCTCGGAAAGGTTGGAGGGAGGGAGTAAAGGAGGTTTTGTGGGCGAGGGGCTTGGACTTCCAGCAAGCATGCATGAGCGTGTTAGATAGGAGTGAATGTAGACGAATGGTTTTTGGGACCTGATGAGCTGTTGGAGTGTGAGAAGGGTAATATTTAGTGAAGGGATTCAGGGAAACCAGATATTTTTATATAGCCAGACTTGAGTACTGGAAATGGGAAGTACAATGCCTGCACTTTAAAGGAGGGGTTTGGGATATTGGCAGTTTGGAGGAATATGTTATATTTGAGAGATTTTTATCTTTGTGTATGCTTCTAAACTGTTGTATCTGGGTGCCTCTGCAAAAGCAGTTATTATGTATGAGTGAGATTAAAGTGTTGAATGATGATGAAAGTATTTTCTTTTTGGGGATTTTCTTTCTTTTTGGGTCACCCTGCCTCGGTGGGAGATGGCCAACTTGTTGAAAAAGAAAAAAAATATGTGGCATGATTATTTTCCTGTCCAACATTTGGAACTTTGAATTTGTCTATATTAAACTAAATTTGCCACTTCAACCACTGTACCATTCTATTCAAATCATCCTGGAGTGCTCTAATGTCCTCATTAGAATGAACTGGACGTCATATTTTGGCATCATCATCAAATTTGCTTATGTCGCTTATGCTGCTAATGTCTAATTTCTACTGATAAATATTTGTGTGATATTTACTTGCCATATGTAACAGCTGTTGTGTCCAAATTATTATTATAATCAAAAAGAAGCGCTAAGCCACAAGGGCTATACAGCTGTTAGTGTCCAAAACATATTGGATTCTCATTATGCATTTATAGGCTGACTGAGGTAAGTACAGGTGCCTAAAAAAAAAAAAAACCTATAACAGTTGGAGCAGTCTACAGATTACCACACACAAATACCACTTTTAGTGGTAACGTTAGAAACATGATAACTGACTCAGAGTTGAATAAACACCACCTGATACTTACAGGAGACTTCAACATAAACCTCATACAAGCAACAGGCCCTCCAGTAGCTGATTTCACAAACACTATGAACAACTGCTTGCTACTGCCCACTCCTCTTTCTCATCTACATCAATGATCTCCCCAATGCATCTCAACTCCTTAAACCAGTTCTATTTGCAGACAACACTACTTATGTCAACTCTCACTCAAACCCAGCTATACTTCGAGACACTGTAAACAACGAGCTGCTAAAAATAAATATTTGGATATTGACCAACAAACTCACTCTCAACATAGACTAAACATACTTCATGCTATTTGGAAACAGAGCCTTAAATATCCAACTTAACATATTGATAAATAGTTCCCCTACTATAAGACACACTGAGGATAAATTTCTAAGTCTTCTCCTTGACTGTAATCTTAAATTTTATTCCCACATCCAGCATATATTATAGGTAGTAGGTTGGTAGACAGCAACCGCCCAGGGAGGTACTACCGTCCTGCCAAGTGAGTGTAAAACGAAAGCCTGTAATTGTTTTACATGATGGTAGGATTGCTGGTGTCCTTTTTTCTGTCTCATGGACATGCAAGATTTCAGGTACGTCTTGCTACTTCTACTTACACTTAGGTCACACTACACATACATGTACAAGCACATATATACACACCCCTCTGGGTTTTCTTCTATTTTCTTTCTAGTTCTTATTCTTGTTTATTTCCTCTTATCTCCATGGGGAAGTGGAACAGAATTCTTCCTCCGTAAGCCATGCGTGTTGTAAGAGGCAACTAAAATGCCGGGAGCAAGGGGCTAGTAACCTCTTCTCCTGTATATATTACTAAATGTAAAAGGAGAAACTTTCGTTTTTCCTTTTGGGCCACCCCGCCTCGGTGGGATACGGCCGGTGTGTTGAAAGAAAGAAAGAAAGATCCAGCATATATCCAAGAAAATTTCCAAATCAGTAGGTATCCTTTCCAAGATACGATACTATGTACCACAAACAACACTCTTTACTCTATACCACTCTTTAATATATCCCTACCTCACCTATGGTATTTGTGCCTGGGGATCAACCACAGCCAACCACCTTAAACCTTTAATAACCCAAGAAAAAGCTGCTGTGCAGATGATTAGCAGCTCCTGTGCCAGATGGTACACCCCACCACTTTACAAAAGCCTGAAACTACTACATGTAAATATACGAGACATACACTCATATTATTGTGCTTACTATATATACAGAACATTAAAGTCCAATATAAACCCTCCACTTAAACTTCTCCTTGATAGCTACAACAAAACGCACAGCCACAATACAAGGCACAAGGCACTCTTTGATATCCCTCATGTCAGTCTCACACTATGCAAAAATGCAATGCACATAAAGGGCCCAAAGATCTGGAATTCACTACCTGAACCAGTAAAGGATCCCTGGCAACATAAAAATCATCTCATCTCTCAATACTAACCAAACCAACCAAACAACTTCTAACCAGTTTGAAGCAACTCTCAAATATTATATGACCTCAAGTCTATTAAAATGTCTGCAAATCCATGAAATATTACTGTTTGAACCATTAATTGTAATGTTATTTTTATGTGCAACTTCAAGATTATTATTCCAATCCATGTAATATTACTGTTTGAACCATTAATTGTAATACTGTTTTTATTGTGTAACTTCAAGATTATTATTCTTATAAACCTCTACCTTAACTACCTCACATTAGTAGATTTATTAAAAAGTTAACCACTCTTATTTTGTCTAGACTCAAGTAGTTATTATGTACTAGGATAAGTCTGCCTGAAGTGCCCCGGAATGATAGTGGCTTTCTTCGTACTACTTAACAAATCAAAACTGTATATACACATTGTAACCTTGCAAAGAAATAAATTCTTAATCTGTATCTTTTTATCTTCATGGGCCTGGAATTCACCTACAACAAAGCAAGGGACACCTGTATAAATATTTAAAAATAAAAATGTACAAATATGTGAAAAAACATCATCATCATCATATTATCATTATTATTACAATAAAAATAAGACAACACTGAAGAATTAAAAATAAGTTACACCTACATTTCTGACTACAGTATGCCATTTATATTCACGATTATAGATATAAATGCACAAACACTAATAATTCTTTGAAAATTAAATTTTGATATCCTAAGACATAATCTTTATGAAGCTAATCTTTTGCAAATAATATCAAAACGTTGTGTTGTTAAAGTCATAATATCAACTGCCAACTCCTCTACAGTTGTGTAACGCACACTGGTGAAGCTGAATATATCCTGGAGCAACCCAACAATCTGTTCCTGAGACAAAATGTATTAGCCGTTTAGTTTTTGCATCATACATAAAATCTGAAAAGAAGAAAATTTATAAACAATTTGGATTATATGCATATTGCTTGGTAAGTCAGGTTAAGCACAAATAATAATAATAATATCTTTATTTTATAGGTAGTAGGTTGGTGGACAGCAATCGCCCAGGGAGGTACTACCGTCCTGCCGAGTGAGTGTAAAACGAAAGCCTGTAATTGTTTTACATGATGGTAGGATTGCTGGTGTCTTTTGTCTGTCTCATAAACATGCAAGATTTCAGGTATGTCTTGCTACTTCTACTTACACTTAGGTCACACTACGCATACATGTACAAGCATATATATACACACACCCCTCTGGGTTTTCTTCTATTTTCTTTCTAGTTCTTGTTCTTGTTTATTTCCTCTTATCTCCATGGGGAAGTGGAACAGAATTCTTCCTCCGTAAGCCATGCGTGTCGTAAGAGGCGACTGAAATGCCGGGAGCAAGGGGCTAGTAACCCCTTCTCCTGTATATATTACTAAATTTGAAAGGAGAAACTTTCATTTTTCCTTTTATGTCACCCCACCTCGGTGGGATTCGGCTGGTATGTTGAAAGAAGAAAGATCTTTATTTTCTACAAGTAGTATGTCATTGATGTAGCTGACATCAATGACATGCTACTATATACAAAGTCCCTTGTTATGCACAGCATACTGGGCAAATTAGGTCAGTTTTGTCTCAGGATGAGACCCACACCAGTTAACTAACACCCAGGTACTGATAGGTGAACATGGACAACTGGTGTAAGGAAACATGCCCAATGTTTCTACCCTTGCTGGGAATCTAACCCAGACCCTCGCCGTGTAAAGCGAGAGCTTTTGCCACCAGGCCACAGGCCTGGATAGATGACCTTGTGGAAATAATCTTGCCATTGTCTAGGGAAGGTTATGACTGAAACAGAGCTGGATGATGTATTGCTTTCTTTACAATTAAGCCACTAACTCTAAGTGAAAACTGGATGACGCTTCTGTCCATAATAGATCATTATAAATTTGGAAATAAGGAAGAAGAGGGAAGGAAGCTAGGTAGGAATACTGGGATATGAATTGTTCCAACTGTGCTATTGTAATTTTTATTCTTTATGATACTCTTACCAATGACACCATTAACCTGACACTATTACTCTAAATGTAAACAATGTGTCTCACAAAGATCATCATCTTCTTTCAACAAACCAGCTGCATCCCACTGAGGCAGGGTGGCCCTAAAAGAAAAACAAAAGTTTGTCTTTTTAACTTTAATAATGTATACAGGGGAAGGGGTTACTAACCCTGTGCTCCCAGCATTTTAGCCGCCTCTTACGACACGCATGGATTATGGAGGAAGAAGTCTGTTCCACTTCCCCATGGAGATAAGAGGAAATAAACAAGAAAAAGAATTAGTAAGAAAATAAAAGAAAACCCAGAGGGGTGTGTGTATATATATATACGCTTGTATGTGCATGGGTAGTGTGACCTAAGTGTAAGTAGAAGTAGTAAGACGTACCCGAAATCTTGAATGTTTATAATACAGAAAAAAGACACCAGCAATCTTACCATCATGTAAAACAAGTACAGGCTTTCATTTTACACTCACTTGGCAGGATGGTAGTACCTCCCTGGGCAGTTGCTGTCTACCATCCTACTATACCTAGGTCTCACAAAGATATTTAGTGCAATGCTAATCCATATATTCCTTATCCTCTTTTAAATATTCCTATATTGTCCTGGAAAAAAAATAGGAAACAAATATCAATGATACTAAGAAACTATAAGAGCCTTATAACCTTGATTCTCTATGTGCAATGCATATACTGAAAATCCAGGTATGATTGTAATTAGTAAGACATGAAAGCATGACCATGTGCTAGCAGGTAAATTCAACCACCAGTGACATTACCACCCACCAATGAGGTGGCAGGTAAATTTAACCACCAGTGACGCTATCACCCACCAATCAAGTGACAGGGGCTACAAAACCAAGCCTTATGAGTCTGGCACTTTTTATAAATGTAATACAACAAAGGTACAAGCATGAATCTACATGAAAGATGATTTTTTTTTTAACACACTGGCCATATCCAACTGAGGTATGTGACCCAGAAAAGAAACACCTTTACCATCATTCACATTATCACTGTCTTGTCAGTGGTGCACAAATATGACAATTCAGATTTCACTCCAAACAGCATGGAAATTCTGATCTTCATCAATGATGTAGTAACATACAGTGTTGTACCATTATACATTGCAATGAAAAAGGTAAGTGGAGAGTAAGTATGTATGACAGATTTGGCCTTGACAAAAAATGCCAGATTACATAGGGTCATGAAAACCAGCAACATCATCACTTACTCCCATTGTATGATATTTTATTTGCAACACAAACCGAAAGACAAGAATGCAAGATTTACCTCTGATAAGTAACTGTTCTTTTTTTTAATTAACACATCAGCTGTCTCCCACCAAGGCAGGGAGGCCCTAAAAAGAAAAACTTTCATCATCATTCACTTACTCACTGTCTTGCCAGAGGCACACTTACACTACAGTTATAAAACTACAACATTAACACCCCCTCCTTCAGAATGCAGGCACTGTACTTCTCATTTCCAGGAATCAACTCCGGCTTGCCGGTTTCCCTGAATCCCTTCATAAATGTTACCTTGCTCACACTCCAACAGCACGTCAAGTCCTAAAAGCCATTTGTCTCCATTCACTCCTATCTAACACACCCACATATGCTTGCTGGAAGCCCAAGCCTTTCGCACATAAAACCTCCTTTACCCCCTCCTTCCAACCTTTCCTAGGTTGTCCCCTACCCCGCCTTCCCTCCACTACAGATTTATACACTTTTGAATTCATTCTATTTTGTTCCAGCCTCTCTACATGTCAGAATCACCTCAACAACCCCTTCTCAGCCCTCTGGATAATACAGTGGACCCCCGCTTTACGATCAGTTCCCAATGCGACCAATTATGTAAGTGTATTTATGCAAGTGTGTTTGTACGTGCATGTTTGGGTCTGAAATGGACTAATCTAATTCACAATATTCCTTATGGGAACAAATTCGTTCAGTAATGGCACCTGAACATACTTCTGGAATGAAATAATATCGTAAACCGGGGGTCCACCGTAGTTTTAATAATCCTGCACCTCCTCCTAATTTCCAAACTACGAATTCTCTGCATTATGTTCACACCACACATTGCTCTCAGGCATGACATTTCCACTGCCTCCAGCCTTCTCCTTGTTGCAACATTCACCACCCATGCTTCACAGCCATATAAAAGCATTGGTATAACTATACTCTCATACATTTCCCTATTTGCTTCTATGGACAAAGTTCTTTGTCTCCACAGACTCCTAAGTGCACCACTCACCTTTTTCCCCCCTCATCAATTCTATGATTCACCTCATCTTTCATAGACCCATCTACTGACACATCCACTCCTAAATATCTGAATACATTCACCTCCTCCATACCCTCTCCCTCCAATCTGAAAAGGAAATGATCAGTTAAGTTCAAGTTCACAGAAAAATTCATACCTGCTTGTGATCACTGCATCCAATAACTGAAATATTGTTATAGTATAGGAAGAGTACAGTATAACAATTACATCCATGAATGCTATATAGTTACAGTACAATAGCACTGACATCCACATTATCAAAATATTTGAAAGATTATTAAGAAACAAGGTTGTTAAACACACAGATTCAAAACAATTGCACAACCCAGGGTAATATAGATTTAGAGCAGATTGCCCATGCTTCTTGCATCTACTAGATGCACTTGAAAGGCAAATGAAAAGCAGATGTAATATACACACATGGGGTAACAGTAGACAAAATGCATGTAAAAGAATTAACTGGAAAATAAGAGCAGATGGGGTACCGAAATTTAACTTTTTAATAAACTGAACCCATAGAATAAAAGTCAGCAAAGTAAAATAAGGCCTGCTACAGTGAAAAGTTTTGTTACTCAAAGAATAGTACTCCTCTCAGTTATCTTCTTCATTCCTGTATTTGACAGACAAATCACAGCACTGAATCAGTTGCAGAAGAAACATTAATATATATATATGAGTGACATCCATTGATAACCTAGCAAATCTCCAAGCTGATAGAAACCAGGTCTTCCAGTAGGCCACAAAAAGAAAAAATGATGTTCAATGAAAACAAATTTCAGTTACTCTGCTATGGAAAAATTGAAGAAATAAAAACTGGAATGAAGTGCAGTATAAAACAAAGTCAAACCACTCAGTGGAGAATAAAATTAATAATGTTTAAGACATAGGAGTGATAATATCAAATCTTACATTCAAGGATCACAACAGTGTTACTATCAACTGAAAAGGAAAAAACAAGCTGCATAACTAAAATCTTCAAAACAAGAGATGCAAAGCCAATGATGAGATTCTAAGTCATTTGTTCTCTCTAGACCAAAAAACTGCTGTACACTACCAATCCCTTTTAAATTAGGCAAAATTGTAGATCTGGAGAATGTATGTACAAAGAACTTGTATGACTCATGTATGTTATGGAGAATGTCTGAAGTCCCTCATATTGTTCTTTTTAGAAGGTAGGCAAGATATTTAATAATTTACACCTGGAAAATTCTAGTCCCAAATGTGCACACCAAAATCACTCCCTGCTAAAAGCAAGAGGCTTGGCAGTTGGTGCAAAATACAGTAATCTTCAATGAAAAGCAGGGTTGAAATATTTATACTAAGCGAGAACTTAAAGTAAAGGAATAAAGATTTTTCAACAGCCTCACTTCAAACATAAAGGGAATTACCAACAGACCCCTATCTGTCTTCAAGAGGGAACTTGATAACTTTTTCAAGCCAGCTCCTGCTCAACTGGGCTGTGGTGCCTACACAGGATTATGTGCAGCCAGCACCAACATCTAGATTGATCAGGCTATCAACCTAGAGGACTAGTCTGGGACTGAGTTGCAGGGGCCATGAT